TTTCAGCCTTTATATACCGTACTTCATGTAGTAGGAAATGTGGCAATATGACATTCACCAAGTGCAGAAATGGTGAATGTTCAGTATGTAAAATATGAGGGGAAAAGTGTAAATAAATAAAAAAAAATGTTAGCCTTGTTTAAATATGGCACTACTTTCTGGTGCATTGTGTAATTTAACAACCCCAGGGTTGGGCAGTATAGCAAAACTTTATCATCATTATGGATGCACAGTTATGTAGAAATCAGATCAGTATTGGCAGATATTTGCTTAAGACGAATGTTTGAATTTGACCAATACTTGAAACTGATATTTGATGACATATTTATTGTACTCAGGAACAGAAACTCTGATAAATAAATAAAAAAATGAACCATCACAAACATTCCTATGCACCTTAGAGATCCCACAGTAATCTCTAAAGCAAGATTTAATAGTTTATAGACAGTAAAACCCCCTTCTGAGGACATATGTTACAGGATGTAAATTTTGAATGAATAGAAGTACTTTGAGATGGATACTTGGGGTGGGCAGTTTTTTTTTCTTCACTAGCTGGCTGAATTATTCTTTTAAGAAAGAAAAAAGCTTAATGACTAGGTTAGTGGCGAAGTTAGTGGTAATGCTAGCTGGCACCACAGATGTATTTATTTGCCTCTAGATCGGTTGCTAGCAGCCTGGATTTGTTGAACATCATAAGGGTTCCTAATTATGGTGCAACATGTTTGTGTAATACTGATGGACGAAAATGCAAAAACATGAATTCTGGGTGCAGTGCTGCACTATAGAATACTATACAACACAACTCACTGTTTCTCAACCCTGGTCCTGGAGGCCTACTACCCCACACTTTTTAGTGTTTTCCCTGCTCTTAAAACACTTGATCCAATTAATTAGCTCATTAACAGCCCGTTCTTCAATTAAAGTGAATGTGTTGAGGCACTACAGCACTAAATTGTGCAGGACAGTGGGCCTCCAGGACCAGGGTTGAGAAACACTGACATAAATAACATTAAATGCTAGTTTTAGGCCAGAATGGCAAATGCACCTTTTTAAAAATAAATCAAGAAGGAACAGTAGGAAAAAATCAATTGGTTAAAATAAATATTAATAAAATAAAGCATAGGCACAATGGGATGACACCAGCTAATTGCTACTGTGGTGTTTATGCAGTTACTGTACACAAATTGTTGTTTTTTACAGTCTCCCTATAATTGGTGTAAATTGGTGATACATTGAGTTTTTTATAAGTAGTAATGATATACACAATATACCGAGAAAAGCATAATGCGACTAGAGAAGTGCATTTCAATTTTGATATTCGAGTATCCTCAGAGTTAATGAATTTATAACAGACTTCAGCAACTGTGGGTTTACCTTTTTAGGTGACAGCATTGATGTAGCAGCACACAGGCGAACCCATTAAAACATGTTTTATTATTCAGAAAGTAGTTGAGGGACTTTGGTTAATTAGGTTTTTGTGTGATGAGTAACGGTGGCTACTAAGCCAACAAGTTAGTTAGTCAGATACGTATTTTCACAATTTCTGGACCTCAGCTAGAGTAGTTAGCCTAGTTAGCAATAACCACACTAAAGCCAGACATGCTCTCTCTGCCTTCTCTGTCACATCCTTAACAATGCGTTCTTGGCAACACACTCACATGAAGTCAGTTTCATAGAAACAAGGTGTAATATCAGAGATTTGTAGTGAGGAGAATTGCCAATCAGTAATGTCTTCCAGGATTGTCAAACCCTAAACAGCACTCTTGGGGGAATCCAAATGAATGGGTTCCTAAGGAGCTTTTGTGAAAAATCATAGTTTGTATTGTAATTTTCTGAACACAGCATAAAATATTTCAACAATGCTGTTATATTTTTGAGCACTTTTGAACTCTTATAGGACTTTATAATAGCGCCTCACGTACATTCATGACATCAGTGAGCGTGAACTGCTTGGCTTGAATATATTACACAGTATTCATCAAATTATGGCTGACATTCCAGGCAACAGTACAAGTATTTAGGTAATCTGTTCAGCGATTACAGCTAAACAACATGTAAACAAGTCTACATGTCCCACCAAAACCTATTTCCTTATAGAAACCTGGACATTTTAACTTGATATCAGTATGAATGATGTGTGGCTTCAGGGTTTGCTTAGATGGTACTATTCATTTGTTAAGAATGTAAATCTAGATATAGCCAATTTTCTTTTCAAGCAGTCACAATATTCTTGTTGAATAGTTGTCCAGTTTGAAGTTTACTTTCTTATTCATTTTGGGTTTTATATGCTTAGTTTTTATTTCTTTTCTTGGTTCTACAATTAAACATTTCTTGTTAAATGAAATATTACACTAGACATTGCATAATATAACTAATTTCAATCTAATTGTGTTCTTACTTTTTTACTATACTAAGATTAGTGAGCACATCAGTGCTAGCTGATCATATAACAGTGCTTCTTCAATCTTCATTTCTGTTATTTAAAAAAGAATAATAATAAATAGAAATCATTTTAAGCATTATAGCCACACTTAAATTAAAGATCTGCATAGTTTATATAAAGATATTCATAGATGTTGCCAACAAACCATGCAACTTGGTGCTCAGTGCTATTAATCATTCCTAACTGTTTTATAGCACTTTAACTCAGCTTGTGTTTTTGTAAAAGTGTATGTGAGCATTTATAAAATAATCTTAAAAGAAATGCTAATGGAGACTGTAATGTTTTCATGTCAAGGGGGCTCACGTATCAAGACGCAACACTTGGAATCTCAGTACTGCTGTTCAAAACTCTGCCCATTTTATAGCATGCTAGGAGCGATCAAGATGTACTGATCTGAACTGCATCAGTTTTGGGCTGTTATAGTACACAATCAAGCATGCACTCTTTTTTTTGGCCAATAAATGTAAACCCCTAAAAAGCTTAGTGTACTGTTTTTGTAGTTCCTTTTCCAGCACCGTATAAATAGATCCTCCGTCAAGTTTGTGTATTCATTGTATTTTTAAAATTAATCTAATCATAATTTGAAATTTGCAATCGATGCATTGAATTATTTCCTAATACATTTTAATCACACTGAAACATTATGAGACGCAGTTTTTTTGCATGCATATTGTTTTGATCAGCGTTCATCCCAGCTGTGCACACTGTCAGTTCTCCACGCAGCCTCTCTTTGCCACTCTGCTGTCTTACGTGTGTTTCTGAAGGTGCTTCCCTATGCAAAAGAAAAGAAGGCCAGAGAGGAGGACCAGGGGGATACCAGCCACCGCCACCATGAAGGACCAGCCATAGTGTGCCTCCAGATGGGCATCAGGGCAGCCCTCGCCTCGCTCCTGTAGGATGTATCGCCTCACGTCCACTAGCTCCTTCCACAGTACGAACAGGCCCACCAGCACCAGGAAAAGACCTGCTTGACTCAGCCAATGAGCTGGTGAGCTTGTCAACCAATCAGTACTCAGTAGCAGTAATGCTAGCATCCTACTGCCCAAAACCTGTTTGTTGTAGAAAAATGGAAAGATACAGGCAGGTTTTGTTCGATTTTTTTTGCTGAAATACATCTTTCTACCTTCCAAAATGAAAGTTGGGTCCCACACAAATTATTAAAAATAAGTTCAATTTTTAGCCGTTTAACTCATTTACCCCCATTCACTGAGGACTCGCTTGTGCCCTTTAGTGTTTTGAAGTCATGTTTTTTTGATATAACTGGAGAAATAGGAAGTGACCGGGCACCCCTTAAACCAGCTCTGGTAATATGATAAGCAAGAGATTTTAACTGCTTAGATCATTTTCTAATTTATTTCACGGCGGACCTCATGCCGTCCTGAACAGCTTTCAAAATTAGTGCATACAGGTGTGAAATACTCAGGGTTACATGACTCTCATGACCATCAAAATTACCATCGACATAGACCAAAGTAAACAGTTCAGTACAACAAATACAGTCTACAAACATATATGCAAGTTCTTCGGAAAAGAATATCAAAGAACAGGAGAGAATAGTTCCTAATTATCTAATTCAAAAAACATGTAGAATTGAACTCATCATTCTTCCCTGCTGGTGCTGTGGTGTCTATAGTATGAATCCAGAATGCTTGCAGGTTTGGTTGTTGATGTCCCCACCTCTCCTTCCAAGTGTGACTGTTCCTATACCAGTACAAGGGCTTTAACATTATGATTTGACCCTATAAAATGTCTAGCCACTGACAGATTAAGGTCCTTTCTCCTAATAGAGCACTTACGCTCTGATAATCAAGTTTTAGTGGTCTTGATGTCTGTCCAATGAATCCCAATGAGTGTGGACAAAAATAAACAACATTCTCAGAATTACCTGTAACGCGAGTTTTCACTGAATATCTTTTATTAGTTCTTGGATGTGGTTACAAGCAAAAGAATGCCTTTGATATTTTTACGTTGAAGCAGCAGTTTGAATTCGGTGGCACTATAGCACCGGTTGGAAGATGTAGAAAGAAGAAAACTCAGTGGTTACTGGCTAACCATTTTCTGTTATGAGAAGTTTGAGAGCCCAAATTTAGACAAATGGGAGGATCACACTTCTTAGTTAGCACAAGAAAAAGCAGGAAAGGCTAAGAAAGCAATCGAACTGTTGACACTGAATACTTTAAGTTACACCAGTATGCACTTTTTCAGTGGCATTGAGAACGGCATGAGGTAAAACATGTCCACCTCATGCTGTTGTCCGAAAGAAAATTATTTAAGCAGCTACAGTCACTTGCTTATTCAATTGTTGAGTGTAGGCTTCGGTGCTGTTTTTGAATGTAATGTTTTGCTGAACTGGTTGTCTGAATATTTTCTACGTCATTCTGTGGTAAAACGAAATAAATACTCGAATGGTGATTTAAGTGTCTGAAAGCTGGCACCTCAAGCAGTTAACCTGAGTACATCCCTACTAGTTACGTGTTTATCATGATAACGGTAACATCATATTACCCACCTCTGATCAGACCATGGCAAGATGAAATATCATGACTCATATTCATACTGTTTTCAAGAACCCAATTTTATTTTTGTGCTTGTGCTTTCATGCTAGCTTGCCATGTTAAGGGGATTCACTGGTGTGTGCAGTGTTAAGGGTCCAGGGCTGACTCTGATATGCAAATTATTTAGATGACTGTCATGAGCGCTCTCAGCCTTCAACCCTCAAGCCTGGCTTGGGTCAGGTGACCAGCACTCCCCGGGGGGAGGGCAGAGGCAGGTGGCCCCTCTACTGTACACAAGCAGTGCCATGGAGCAGACAGCTGTGCATTTATCAAAGTGCTGCCCGCTTTTGATCTCATTTCAATCAGCCATGAATGGGGAACAGCCTGCTCGCCTGTCTTGCGCTCTCTCTCTCTCTCTCTCCTTCTTTCTCCCTCCTTCCCCACACCCAGACCCTTAGCCATTGTAGACCTCTGTTTGTGGGCAGCATGTGTTGCATAATGAATGTATAACACACCACAAGAATATATACACTGACTGTAGTGGGCTGCAGTGGAAATGGTGCCCCACGGGCTAGTGCTATACATATGGTCTGTCGAGAAAGCAGTAGATAATCGTACACTATCTTTACCACTGAATCGCAGAGTTTCTTTATAACTAAGCAGTGCTGCCAAAAAGATAAATAGACACCGTTTATATTTTGGAAATGGAAGAAACAAACAAAAAAAAAAACATGCAAATTGTTTAGTGTCAGACAAATATATTACACAGTATTCATCAAATTATGGCTGACATTCCAGGCAACAGTACAAGTATTTAGGTAATCTGTTCAGCGATTACAGCTAAACAACATGTAAACAAGTCTACATGTCCCACCAAAACCTATTTCCTTATAGAAACCTAGACATTTTAACTTGATATCAGTATGAATGATGTGTGGCTTCAGGGTTTGCTTAGATGGTACTATTCATTTGTTAAGAATGTAAATCTAGATATAGCCAATTTTCTTTTCAAGCAGTCACAATATTCTTATTGAATAGTTGTCCAGTTTGAAGTTTACTTTCTTATTCATTTTGGGTTTTATATGCTTAGTTTTTATTTCTTTTCTTGGTTCTACAATTAAACATTTCTTGTTAAATGAAATATTACACTAGACATTGCATAATATAACTAATTTCAATCTAATTGTGTTCTTACTTTTTTACTATACTAAGATTAGTGAGCACATCAGTGCTAGCTGATCATATAACAGTGCTTCTTCAATCTTCATTTCTGTTATTTAAAAAAGAATAATAATAAATAGAAATCATTTTAAGCATTATAGCCACACTTAAATTAAAGATCTGCATAGTTTATATAAAGATATTCATAGATGTTGCCAACAAACCATGCAACTTGGTGCTCAGTGCTATTAATCATTCCTAACTGTTTTATAGCACTTTAACTCAGCTTGTGTTTTTGTAAAAGTGTATGTGAGCATTTATAAAATAATCTTAAAAGAAATGCTAATGGAGACTGTAATGTTTTCATGTCAAGGGGGCTCACGTATCAAGACGCAACACTTGGAATCTCAGTACTGCTGTTCAAAACTCTGCCCATTTTATAGCATGCTAGGAGCGATCAAGATGTACTGATCTGAACTGCATCAGTTTTGGGCTGTTATAGTACACAATCAAGCATGCACTCTTTTTTTTGGCCAATAAATGTAAACCCCTAAAAAGCTTAGTGTATTGTTTTTGTAGTTCCTTTTCCAGCACCGTATAAATAGATCCTCCGTCAAGTTTGTGTATTCACTGTATTTTTAAAATTAATCTAATCATAATTTGAAATTTGCGATCGATGCATTGAATTATTTCCTAATACATTTTAATCACACTGAAACATTATGAGACGCAGTTCTTTTGCATGCATATTGTTTTGATCAGCGTTCATCCCAGCTGTGCACACTGTCAGTTCTCCACGCAGCCTCTCTTTGCCACTCTGCTGTCTTACGTGTGTTTCTGAAGGTGCTTCCCTATGCAAAAGAAAAGAAGGCCAGAGAGGAGGACCAGGGGGATACCAGCCACCGCCACCATGAAGGACCAGCCATAGTGTGCCTCCAGATAGGCATCAGGGCAGCCCTCCCCTCGCTCCTGTAGGATGTATCGCCTCACGTCCACTAGCTCCTTCCACAGTACGAACAGGCCCACCAGCACCAGGAAAAGACATGCTAGGAGACAAACACATGCAGAGTGTCAGGAATAGCCAGGGGCAAAGGGCAGAAATGCCTCATATTCTACATTTTTGCCCTTTAAACTACATGTACTAGGGCAAAAATGCCCTAAAAATAACTACTTATGAATGTAATGAAGTAATAAATCAGTGTGGATGAATGTCACTATTACAGTCTCTAATAAAATAGCCAACACTTCGCACCTTGCTTCGCATGCTGATCTTGAAAGAACTCATCTGTAGATAAAATTGGCTGCTATGCTATACATGAAGCTGCTGCCAACAACATCTTAATGGAAGAGCATCCACCCCCACTAGTTTTTGTCTTTTAGTTTTTTGAATAAAATAGAAAGCCATGAATCTATGAACTGCTTAATTTTAGAGACATTAAATTCCTAATTAGTTTTCTGATTAAGTTAAAAAGTGTCCTCATTTGTGTATAGTTTGTCACTGAATCTCAATTAAAAAGGTCAAAAGAAAAATCATAAAACGTTATTTCCCACCTCCTGATCAGCAGGCGGGCAGGCATACTCCCAACTCACTTAGGGCAATTAGCTAGACATGCAGCTCGCTCACTGACTTATATTTCTTGAGATTACCACAACTGCAGGCTACTTTTTTTTATTTACAAAATAACCAAAATAACCAAATTAAAATAACTAACCTTTTCTACTGGCTAAAGTGTTGAAAAATAATTCCTGTTTGTAAATCATACTTACAATAGCCAGAAACTTGTTGCTCGGAGCATTGAACAAAATCCCTTGACTAAGTGCCTGTTGCTAGTCAAAATTAGCATGTTGCAATTAAACATTTTTTCCTTGTGAACAGCATTAGGCGGCAGTGTTAGTAAACATGGCTGATATAACAGCCTGCTAGTACAGATAAGGCACCAATTTTAAATCCATTTCAGAGAACTCGTGTTTAAAAATTAAATGCTATGTGAACATAATTCATGTTTAAATAGGACAAAGGCTATATTCACATTACCAGGCTGAAATGACACAAATACACTTTTTTTATCTAATGTGACAGATCTGATGTTTTCAAATCTGATCGGAGGCACTTTCATAAGTGGCTGTATATCAAAAACAATGAAAATGGTCAGATCAGAAATTCATGTTTTTTTTTTCACTGCACATGCGGCATCATTCAGTGTTAACAAGGCAGCAGCACTGAACCTGAAGTTAGTGCCAGTAAATGGTGCAAAAGCATTTGACCCTTTTTTGCCTTCGTTTTACTCTAATAATAAACAGCTGAGAGTTGTTCAGAGCTATTTATTTCCTGGTGAAGGCCTGTTCTGTGGCTTAGCATGTTGTTCATGATGTGTGGATCCTTCGTATGATGTTATTGATGATGTGCGCATGCAGGTCGTTTCAGTTTGTTCACATTAATGACAAATTTGAGTCACGTACAGTGCACAACCTGATGTAGTTCTGTACAATATAGACATAAAATGGAATGCAGTGAAGCCGGATATCACAATAACAATATGAGAAGCAATAATTATTAAAATAGTGTGCCTGACTGGATGTGACACAAGTAGACTTTTTATTGATGTGTAAATAATCTAACTAATCTCTCCTGTAAGCAAACAGCAAAATATAAAAAAACAAAAGCACAATACAAATTGTGCAATATAAAAAGAAATTAAATACTAACAGCTATTAACATCAGAACTGCGAGCACATTTTAGTGCACTGTAACGCTGAGAAACAGTCTCAACAGCTTCTATAAATATATATTTATTTTTCTTTACAGGCACACAAGAACAAATACTTTTGTTTCATTTTATTTTGTTTAGTTATTAAATATGTTTGTTGTAACAGTAGCCATTACTGCCTCACAAACTTGCAAAACAATACTGGTTGCAAAAACAATCCTAATGTTAGATGTATTTATACAGGCTTGTAGATCAGGATGGAGTAGTTTTTGAGCTGTGCATGCATGTTTCCAAATTGGCTGTTGAGCCTAATGGTTAAGTTACTTATCTGCCAATTAGGCAGATAAGTGAAAAGGGTTCAATCCCAGTGCAAAGAAGCAATTATTAGTTTAATGTTTATTCTGGCAGTGATTTGATGTCTTATTGGAACATGTATGAGGTAATTCAGTATGTTCTGTTATTGAGGCTCTAATGATGTGTTTATTGTGAAAATGCAATAATGATAAAAATATGATTTATCATACAGACTTAATCAGAAGTTAATGCCAGTAAAGCGAAAGCAAATTACCTGACCCTTTTTCAGATTCATCTCATTCTAATAATGAGAGATTGAGAGCTGTTCAGAGCAACTTTGCAACAAAGTTTTGCTGTGCTGGTTAGTTAGTTTGTTGTTTATGATGCATATGGTGAGCATGCGTATCGTTTCAAGACACAGGTTCGTTTACATTAATGTATACAAATGTTTACACCTTGCAATAACATGCGTTTCTAGTGATTGGATCATATTCAGATGTTGCTTGACCACATGAAAAGCCATGTGTAAACACCACCAGGGCTCTTTGTGAGCAGATTATTATCAGATAACTAACCACATTCGGAGGTGGTTATGCAAGTGTAAATGGAATGTGTTTTCGTTGTATGTATACAGTTACATGAGTGGAAATGCGTCTGCTGAGCGCTGACTGGCAGATGAGAGAATAAAACATTAAACAAAAATGGAGGATATGCAAGACCAAACCAACAACCTTCTCTCACTCCGGGCCAATGAATGCATCCAGGCCAAGTGTGTCAACTCATATCATAACAAGGAAAAGAGTAAACAAAAGTAAAATGGATAACGACAATGTTTTAAAGTGCTTTTTACACCAGATAAATACAGAAAAATACATTCAAATCTCATTTGGTGACACTGGGGACGCATTTGAAAAGTGTAAATGCAGTCCGGGAAGTGTTTGTTTATCCAGATATGACACAAAACATATGTTAATGCAAGGTGTAAACAGGCTTTTCGAGTCAGTTACCCACACAAATGTGAACCATCTAGTTAGAAATATCAGATCTAAGCAAAAAATCAATTGAGGAACGAGGCTTGTTATGCGAAAGTAGCCAAGAAACGGATTCGGTGAGCATCCCCAAATGGGTTGTAATTATAATTTTTAACATAATTATATATACAATTATATAATAAGAATTGTATGCTATAGTATTTTCATGTTCGTGGCTTTATAAGGTTATTATTGCTTAATGTATTTTGTTTAATCTGGGTATGATCTTTCAGCTCTTTGCCTAAAGGTGTAGTGTAGTGTATTGTTGAATACTGTGCTGATTGTGGTTTTGACCAGGCTGGTTGTGATGAGGTTCAGATGGTTTTATGCTGTTTATCTCTAGGTTGGTGTGCTTGATGTCAGTAATATACAGTGTCCAGTTGTTTTGTTGCATACACCTCATAGACCTGGTTTGTAACTCACACTCACACAAGTTTGGCAGATTGAAGGCTCTCAACAAGAACTAGTAATGCTCAAGTGACTTTTGTGTGCATCATTACAGAGGAGGAACTTGTAGGAATAAGGGTTATGGAAACAACTACAGTTATGATATGAATAGCATTCGTTTCATTAGCTGGATTGTGGATGACTGCAAGCATAAAATCTGTGGAACTTTAGCATCAGTGACACAGTATGAACAGGCCAAGGCAGCAGTGTCCGATATGAGACTGGGCCACTGTGTTAGGGTGATGAACAATGTGCCTCACCCCTCCACCTGGCAAAACCATGCCACCTTACTAGATTTGATAACCAGTAAAGCATTGGTGGGAATAGCTTTGCATCCTACTTCAGGAAAAGTTGTAGTAAAAAGTTGTAGTAGTAAAAAGAGAGACCAATGTCAAGTGTCCTACTTCTCTTTTGTACAACAATTACAAGCACTTATCTTTATAAGAAGAGCATGCTAATGAATAGGCTGGCTGACCAGACTGATGAGTTTGTGCTAATGTTGAGAGTGAAAACTTAAATGTGGGTGAAAAACTGCAATCAGCAGCCTCTGCTGTATGGCCAAGGTATATGACGTATCACTTACAATGACTACCATTATTACATTTTTTTCATTTGACCCCTTGCTGCCTGATGCTCTATGCTACCAGCCACAAAAGTATACAAAGAAACATCTGTCTGTGATGTTGGTGTTTTGTGTAACCTTGGCAATAATGTGTCATTTATTCATTTATATTTAAATACACATAACCTTGTTTTGCAGAAGAATGTACTTCCTCCTCGCTTCACCCCTGATTTGAGACATTTAATCTATATATCTACTTGGTTAACTAAAATAATAAAAAAATGACTGGCAACACTTTCTGTCGCAGTCCCTTAATTTCTGTGTATTAACCAGGTAGGTGTGGGGTGTAAAGTACTAGGTAGTTGTTTTGGGTATCATGATGGAAAGTTTCAAGACTGACTTAACTGTTAATTAACTGGGTAAATGTATGGCAAACTTTAAAGTACTGTTTAATTATGTTGACAGTGTAACTAAATTACACTGAAATACCCAACAAGTTCTAGGTATGCCAGGGTATTAAGCAGGTAAAGGACACAGTAAAATATTTTTGTATAATTTTTATAAAGTTTGTATATAACTTTATAATTAGATAATTATTTGGAGTAACTAGGTGGTAAGTACAAACATGCATTATATTTTTGTTGTGTCATATATTTTAGCTGGAAATAAATCAGAAAATCTCTAAATAAATGTTGTACCAGTAAAGCTATAGTAAAAATCATTGCCTTCTTTTATAGCTCAGATTCAGTTTCGGTTCTAGGTAAAACACTAGGTATATGCAATATATGACTTGTGTCTCCCAGTATCTTTGTTCTGTCTTTATACACCAAATGACTACTTGGAGATTCTTATGATTTACTTTTCTGCTATTTGACATTGCAGTAAAATGTAGTGTATGTTTGTACTTCTACACAGCACCTCAGACTTACCCAGTTATTAGCTACAACCTGTTATTCATTTCAGTGTAATTTAGTTAGACTTTCTTGGAGCTTACTATCATGATAGCCAAAATAATTACCTAGTACTAGAACTAGAAGTTTGTACCTATTACTTCCTCTGTTAATACTTAGAACATAAAAAAAAAGAAAAAGGTTATGAAATTACCTTCTAATGAATTGGTAATGATTAGTTTGAAGAAGAAACCTAATGAACATATCCTGTTTGGGCATCCCAGTCAAATTACATGTTTTGTTGACTTTCTAAGTAAAAATAAGTTAAGGCATTCTCTAGAGTAGTGTTTTTCAACCCTGGTCCTGGAGGCCCACTGTCCTGCACATTTTAGTGCTTTCTCTGCCTCAACAGATTCACTTTAACTCAAGAACGGGCTGCTAATAAGCTGATTAGTTGGATCAGGTGTTTTAGGAGCAGGGAAAACATTAAAAAGTTCAGGGTAGAAGGCCTCCAGAACAGTGCTCTAGAAAGAACACACTTCTGCCCATTTTAATGCACAATTACTGTTTATTTGCTTAATTTAACATATTGGAAGAAAACATAACACAATAAAAACATAAAATGCAGCCTATGTGAAAGTTATTGAATGTTTTATATTTGATTTTTATTTATTTAGATTTTTTTTATTGTTTTTTTCAGTATGTTGCAGTTGTTCCCTGTAGAGGATGTGTTCATAAGCAAAATGTGTAATTTGACCTGAGTAGTTAAACTGTTGCATATGACTCTATGCATTTTGTGCCACATTGTATCTTTTCTATTTTTTTAGTTAATCTAGTTAATCTTTACCTTGCAATATGTTTGGAATATTTGAAAGGCTATGCATGGTTAATTATACGAATTATACGAATTATACGAATCCTCAAAATAACATTGTAGATTCCTTAACTAATCCTTAGTCAGTGGTTTTCTTTGAATCGAAGAATCATATTTAACTGAGTAATTGTGACAGACCTAGAATGATCAATATGGTCAATCTTCTAAAAGTCACATATTCTGTGAACTGCCTGACCACCTGCATTCTATGGTCAGGTCCTGCTCTGCTTGTGTCTGAGCTTCTTAGACATCATGCTGCAGGCAGTTGGCAGAGTCCAGTTTTAGCAGTCTGTGTGCAATAGCATTCCAAGCACACTGGTGATGGGCAGGGCTATTTCTGTTGGCTGTGGGACACTCACTCACGCAAATGCACGAAGAGAATAAATGTCTAGTGACGGTGTTGCTACACAAACAAATACAAACACAAACTAGTATGCTGAGACAGGCAAGGCATGGGCTTTTCCATATTCATACCCAGTTCTTACCTGCTGTGATGAAAAAGGCACCACCCGCCTTGTAGAGTTTGTGGCTGACAAAAGGCACTGCACACACCAGCAGGAATCCACCGGTCACACTAGCAGCAATGGCCAGGATTATAAGCATGGTCCAGAAGCCACGGAACACTAAAGACACACACATACACAGTTTTAGTTTTGGTGAAAGCTGTAGTTGTAGACATTATATGCTGATAATAAATGTTATTTTGTGTTGCAGTGCTGAAGTGCCGTAAGTTGTGGATAACAAGGATGCAGGGATCGGCCCTTCAAGGTAGTGTCTTTAATTTGTCTTATATGCGATTAATTCTGATCAGTTACTTTAATGGTTTGACAGCACTAATTGTGTTTTTTTTAACAGTGTTCACGTGAACCTGAACATTAAAATTATGTGATTTTGATAAAGTGAACTCCAATTTTCCAATTTTCATCACTGACATCCAGTGAGTGCAACAATGGCTGCATGTTCTTCTGTAATTGTAGCCCTCTCACTCTCATACTGTAACATTACATACATTACATGTTGGTTTATCTATAATTAATAATTATAATAATATTTTCACCAAATTTAGAAATGCTATATAAAATCCATGAACAAAACAAAACAGCCAAAATACAATGAAAGTAAGCAATTATTATTATTATTATTATTATTATTATTATTATTGTTGTTGATCCACTAAGTGGCTTGACCACATACACAATACATTTGAAATCATCACATCCACAGGAGAACATGTTGTACTTCCCAAGTAACTCCAACCCCTATTAAATTGCTTTTAAATACACAAGTTAGAGTGCAGAACTCCAGAGACTCCAACGTAAGACGTTTTCCAACATCCTAAACTCTAACAGTTAAAATGTCGCTCCAGCTTCTCATCATCTTGCAAATGAAATAAACTTTTTTCAGAATTTGACATGTTACATATGGCCCTGGACCTAGAGCTCCTAAAACATTATGTTAAGCTCACCTTCGCTATTACAGAGACTGATCAAGGTGAGTTTGCTCTGATCTTGTTGCAATAGTCTTTGCGCTGCAATGCCATCACAAAACCTTTTCTAAATTACTTCAATTTACCTGTACATTAATATTCCGCTTGCTGCTGAAAATGGCAGTGCAGTGGATTCATTGTTTTAGTCTGTATTGTAAATTCATAGTGGGAACGTGTTGCAGCCTGAACAGGCAGAGTATTCTATTATTTTGCTTATTTTTAGGCTACTTCACTTGTTCACCATTCATGTCAGATTAAGAAAAATATCGTATATAGATGAAAATAAAATGGGCAAATCTGAATGGTTATATGCTTGAAAATATATTTCATATTACAACTATTGATAGCAAGTTTATTACTATTTTTACATATTTTTATGAACTTCTGTTGAACTTAATATAATAACTTTAAGTAGCCTAAACACAAACTGAAGTAAAAATATTTTTATTTCTGTGAAATAATGGCTTAAGTAAAAGTACCTTTCCAAAACAACAGCCTAAATAGAAGTAAAAAAAAATAACAGGTGAAAGAACTACTTAAGGACTGTGTAATTTACAGAGTTGGCCAGGATATTTAAAAAAAAGGATACTTAGTGATGGCTAAATACTGAAGACACTGTCCTAGTTGTATTCAGTAATGTATTCGGTTACAATACATTAAAAAGTAACATATTCAGAATACATTTAGAATATGTCTGTATAAAGCACATGGGAATATTTCTGCAGTTGTAATTATTTAATTTACAGTGTTCGTCATTGTTACTGTTTGGCAATTCCTTTTATGTGGTTCTTCTGTTAATATGTTTCGTGATAAATTCACTTGTCTTTTAAAGCTGTCTGTCTCATGAACTCAGCAAAAGTGGGACACTTTTAAATGTGCAAGGAGACCCACATATTAGCTGTGTATTCATATCTTTTGTGGTTTGTAAGTTGTCACAAGCCTCCTAAATGTAAAGGATATAAAACTGTATTGAATATACAACCCCATTTCCAAAAAAGTTCTGATGCTGTGCGAAATGTAAATAAAAATAGAATGCAATGATATGCAAATCATGTAAACCATATTTTTAAAGGAAAATACTACAAAGACAACATATCAAATGTTGAAACTGAAATTTTATTGTTTTTTGAAAAATATATGCCCATTTTGAATTTGATGTCAACAACAAATTCCAAAAAAGTTAGGACAGGGGCATGTTTACCACTGTGTTTCATCACCTCTTGTTTTAACAACACTCTGTAGGTGTTTGGGAACTGCTTGATATAGGATTTCATCTGCTCAACAGTTTGGGGTCTCCTTTATCACATTTTTCATTTCCTAATGTGCCAGATGTTTTGAGTGGTAACAGGTCTGGACTGCAAGCAGGCCAGTTTAGCACCCAGACCCCTTTAATACGGAGCAATGCTGTTGTAATACATGCAGAATGTGTTTTTTTTACCTGAAAAAAACGTTGTCTGGATGGCAGCATATGTTGCCAAAATATGTATATATTGTTCAGCATTAATGGTATCTTCACAGATGTGCATGTCACCCATGCCGTGTGTACCCCATACCATCATGAATACTGGCTTTTGAACTGTGCACTGATAACAAGCTGAGTGGTCTTTAGCCCAGAGGACAAAGTGTCCATGATTTCCAAAAAGAAACTCAAATGTTGATTTGTCAGACCACAGGACACTTTTCCACTTCCCCACAGTCCATTTCAAAAGAGGTCGGGCCCAGAGAAGGTGGCGACGTTTCTTGATCCTCTTTATATATGGTTTCTTCTTTGTACTTTAGAGTTTTAACTTGCATTTGTGGATACAGCAACGAACTGTTTTCATAGACAGTGGTTTTCAGAAGTGTTCCTGAGCCCCTGCAGTGATTTCCACTGCAGAATCATATCTGTTTTTAATGCAGTGCCACCTGAGGACCCAAAGATCACAGCCAGCAAATATTGGTTTTTGGCCTTGTCCCTTACATACAGAGATTTCTCCAGATTCTCTGAATCTTTTAATGTTATTATGTACTGTAGATGATGAAAAGCAAAAGTCCTTTGCTATTTTTATATTGTAAAACGTTATTCTTGAATTGTTGCACTATTTGCTCATGCAGTCTTTACAGAGTGATGAACCCCTCCTCATCTTTACTTCAGAAAGACTGTTGCCAATAACCACCGGGTGTTTATTTAGCATTATACAACTTTACCAGCCTTTTGTTCTCCCGTCCCAACTTTTTTGGAACAAATTCAAAATGTGCATATATTTTTTAATAAACAATAGATTTTTTTCAGTTTCAACATTTGATATGTTGTCTTTGTACTATTTTCAATGAAATATAGGGTTTAAATGATCTGCACATCATTGCATTTTGTTTTTATTTACATTTTTATTTACATTATTTACATTATTTCATTACATTTACATTCAGAGTCCCAACTTTTATGCAAATGGGGTTGTAGTTTTTATTTGGTTATACTCATGGTTATACTTAATTTCTCTGTTCTGAATACATATTCTGAACATTTGCTTTTTGATGCTAAAATGATTTTGGTCTAAAATAAATGATAAACCTCAGAAGTCAACAGTGTGACCAATTGATGAGTAGGACAGATGCTATCACTAATATAACAGAATGAAATTAATCAGAAAAAGAGAATTGGTAACTAAATGTTAATGACTAAAATATAACTGAGTAACAAGATCTGTTTACTCATAAACATGCAAAAACAACAGAAAAAGCACAAATTCCACAAAATGTCTTCATGTTCCTGAGTAAATATAAGTTATGAACCACCTCTGGCAACCAATTAGTATTTGCTACAGTTTTATTCAAGTTTACAGGCTTGACCATCATGATGATTGTACTGTGGACAGATCTTTTAGATCTTTTATCTTTTTTTACTCTGACCAAATAGTGTAGGTGGACTGTGTCCATGGGGTCTAAGCATTCAGGGAGAAAAGATGGGCGTGTAATAGGCCTCACCTGCAGTGGCATCGTAAATCGGATGAGGGACCGGTCCGACCGCAACAGGTAGAGGGAAGAGGTATCCATGAACACAGGCTTTAGATCTTGGCTGGTTTGCTGCGATTGGGCCCAGAAACAGTCATGTTTAGAAGGGTCACGTGAAAGCAAAGTGCATTTAATCTGAATTTTGTGCTTAATATCAGTCTCCAACATCCTTCTGAAAAAGCACTCTAAAAGGCCAACGTTCAACCACTTCAGTGTTCAATATCTCAGTGGTGCAGGCTTTGTACTCACTGAACAAAACAGCCCACACTACGTGCAATGAGGGGTCGCTCTGGAACAGACAGCGCCAGAAGAAGCCCTCATGATGGAGAGTGAGCGAGGATAGGCTGGGGTCCGTCACCTCTGCTCCCTGGGGAGAAGTGGAAAGGGAGCAAAAGTTAAAGCAGTTCATCAGAAACAGGCCAGCTTTTTTAAAGTAATGCTTTTAAAAATGTGTTATTTAAGCCAGCTAGATAAAGTGCATGAAAGGGTGGAAAATGTAATGATCTATCTTCCATTCATATTCTCCTCCTCATGTTGACATTGCGTGAACCCAGCGAGGAACCTTTGACTGTTTGGAATAATATGAAACATCACCTACTGTGGCAGCTTTTCTACAGCCATAAAACACTTTGAAGTGAACCAGTGCTTTTGAATAAATGGTTGCCTTTTTTTTTTTTTTGGGATAGGTACTGTGGAGTGCTGCCGAATATGGTCGCTGCCAAATGCAGCCTCTTGAGAACAAAAGTGGAAATAATTTGTGGTCTGTGGCCCTTTAAGCATACATATGAAATGATTCTGCACACTCAATGCTGTCATAAAAATGATTGATGGTGCAGGGAACCATATGTGTGTGCATGTTTTTTGTAGTTTTTTTGTAGCTTGAAAGGAGGAGAGATTTGCAGTGCTGTCATGTCTGGATGATGCTGACAAGTTGAGGTAGGTACTACTGAATAGTGAATGATGTACTTTGTTTTGAAGAATAGCTGGTATCGGGGTAATGTTCGCAAAAAAAAGTGATGTCTCATTTCAGCACGGCCCCAAAAATAAACTCGGTAACCGATGTGACTTCCTACGTGAAAGTGACTCTAAAGCAATAGCGAAATCCCTCCAGTCCTTTGTTTAAATTCTCGCTTTTGACACAATCAGGTCACTAATGCACTTTATGTCTTGAAAGTATGCTTGAAGACGAACCTAAAGAGTAATACTAATGACTCGTCTGTTATATAAAATGAGCTAAAGGACATTGTTTTGCTTGTTGATTTGTTACAAAACAATTCATCAAAAAAAAAGTTCGGGACTATTTGTTTAGAAGTGTTTTAACAAAAATCTGATTCTGTTCACTTTATTTAAAACAATAGATCATTTTCACACTTCTGTTTGTTAATGTAGAATCATCAAAAGTAGTATTAATTGAGGTAACCTGACCAATCAAAAAAGAGGGTAAAAGAGAACACGAAGAACCAACACAGGCTGGGCAGTAGGACAGTTTAGCTCACATTTAAGATCAAAAATGCTCAGCTTTAAGATAAATATTAATTTATTAACATATGTATGTACCATCCTGGAAATTGTTATAACGAAGGTTTGCCTAACAACCTTGAGAAATAGACAAAAATAGCTTGTTGAGTAGATTAACATAGAAATATGATGTGTCTCATTGCTGGCTGTAGTGTTGAAGGCATTTGCAACATTGCTAATGTTCAAAATAGGCTGAAATTAAATGTAGTGGAACAGCACAGCTGCATTGCAGTTTGATTGCAGCAGCTTTCACAGGGAATGCATACAATACACAGATGAGCTTTCAGACATATTTCCAATGGAATGCATGAGACAGATGCAGGTTTTGGTTGCGCAGGGTCATACAAAGTTCAAATGTTTTTAACTTTTAAAGCCAGATTTTTGAGTTTTTGGAGGGAACTACCAGACAGATCAACTGCTCTGTTGTTGGCTGCTCTAACGCCAGAGGAAGATTTTTCAGAGAGGCTGAAAAACAGTGATTCTCCATAGCCACACTGTTAAACAGTACTGGTGGAAGTTCGCCAGCGCTATTATTTACAGCTGGATGTGACGACGCAGTGACTGTAAGAAAGGTCTATAGATATGGATGCAGTATGTAAACACTATTGAAGCTTCTAAACATATCGTTCACTCCCCAGTCTGTTTAGTCCATATATGGAAACTAAGCTGCAAAAACAACCTATATTGAATTCATTGGTTTTGTCATGCATATGTTCGCCTATTTAGCGTCTTGCAGTTTATTTTTGAATGAGGCACAATACAAAACAGCCAATCTAAACAGAGCTCATTTAAATACATATGTCTTAAAGGCACAGTAATAAAAAAAGGGATAAAGAGGGGTGAGAAAATGATCATGTAAGAATGAAAAAAACTGTTTTTGGTACATAAAACCAACACAAAAATGGAGAAAAGTAACATAGATGAAAAATATAGGATATAGGAAACCAGGGCCTTCGTATATCAGCGATGCACAATACAGTCGTTGTCCAGCATAACCAACAGTAATGACACTGAGCAGTTTAAGGCCTTTCTAAGATGTTTAGAAAGAGAATAAAAGCCTGTTTACATCTTGCATTAACATTTGTATCCGGATCGTGTCTGGATAAACTTTGGCTGGATTTGACATGCATCGTTTCTGTATTACTTTTGTTTTCTTTTTTTGTTACAAGACAACAAGCATGGAGTGGAAACGTTTATCAGCCTAGAGCGGAGGAAGGCTCTTGGTTTTTAGGGATAACTCCAGCCTTGTGTACCCTCCATCTTTAATTTTGTTTATTCTCTCACCTGCAAGTCAGCACTCGGCAGACACATTGATATTGAAAACTCAGTCCATTTACACTGATGTTAAATAACTGACTCTGACCACCTCTAAATGTGGTTTAAGTGAAATCTGAATGTGATCCGATCACTGAAAATGCATTTTGATGCAAAGTGTAAACAGGCCCAAAATTTCACCAACATTTAAAAATAAAGTCACACGTGGTAAATGAATAAAGTACGAGTTCACCAGTTAAGTATGTCCTAACCATGAGTTCTCACACAGCTATGCAAAATATCCTGGAAACCATAAATAAACGTACTTACTTTCTCAGCAAAATATAGTGAATGCTTCAAAATATTCCATACGAAATTCTGAATTAGTTTATATCTCAGTACCTAGTGAGCAGTCTGTGTAGGCAACATCTTAACGTTAACATGAATCAAATTCATATTTTCACATACAGGGTGAAACAGGGTATCAGGGAGGGTCTCTGAGCTAGCTGAGCATTTTTAAAAGGTGGGGTTGGTGATCAATAAGATGTGGGGATGGTAGAAGATGGAGGTGAAACATGATATCATTGGTTTATATTATTTTTCCCTGCCCGCTGGTGCAAGGTGATGTAATCAAAACTCATAAGATATTTTAGAGGCAGGGAGAATTTTCATGAAAGATTACAGGAAAACTTTTGTCTTTTAAATTACATGATTAATTGTACTTAAAAGGACAAGAGGCATGAAGTAACCAGGTAAAAAATTCAAATTTGGTTGACTTAAAGTTGACTTTAAGTCATCACATATGCATCCTTGAGAAAGCTGTTTAAGTTCTGACACCAAAAAGGATTCTTCTATTCTGTTCTCCTATTATGTTCTTCTGTTGTAACAAGCTTGACGTTGTAACAATTGAAGAACTCTTGTTGGTCCTATATAAACCATATTCAAAAAGGTTATATTTAGAACCATACGCAACACATTATCTGTCAATCTGAAGAATGATTTCACCCTGCAAAGAACCCTTTAAGCACACAGATAGTTGTTTGAATGTTCATGGTTCTACATAGAATCTTTGTCTTTACTAAAGAACTTTTGAAGAACCATCTTTTTTTTTAAGTGTGAGGTTGTCGTTGAATTATTATCGAATGTTGTGTGCAAAGTGTGGGAATGAAAGGTGATGGAGTTACTTTCAGTAACATCTCAATAAAGTTAAAATGCTGCCTACCCACTTTAAAAACTTAATATGTTGACTTCTTTTTTGGTTAACTGAACAAATACTAGTTACAGATAAAATACTCAAATGTCCTGGTTTTGCCATTTCATTCAAGTTTTGAGTTAATTAAAAATAAAAGTTAACAGACCAGTGATCAGTGTTTTGTTATGTAACTGTATCTGATGTTCAGTGAATTTTAAGTTTGAAATCAACCATATTACCATAATAACTTTTATTTTATTAATTTTTAACACTTTGATCTCTGCATCCATTTATTTAAACACAGATAACTACTTTATATAAGCAAAAAGAACCTTTTCATTCTTACTTGAATGCAAAATTTAAGCAGCTCTGTGGTGCAACTGTTTAACTGCCCCCATCATCAGGAGATTATGAATTCAAATCCCAGAGACACCACAGCCTCCCATAGATAATAGCCCAAGATTGCGGGTGGGAATTAGCAGTGACCAAATTGGTAGCAGCACTAAGTAAAAGTCCATCAAAAATCAACTTTTGAGTAAACAAAGTTTAGATAACTAAAAAAAAAACGTTGCAGCTGGTTCCCTTAAAATATTAAACTGATCTGACTTTTTTCAGAATTTTTATAGTGTAGCTGTAGGCATCTATTTTTCTGTTTAAGATGAAAGCTTGTTTCAACACTCAGCCTCCTGGCTTTAGCTGTGTACAGATTCCAGCATGACAGCTGGTCACACTCTGACACGCCTATGTTAAACAGTTCAGCTGTTTTCATCAAACTCTCTTCACCAAGTTATTCTGCAAATGGAAATTCACCAGTAAATCAATCATCAGTCAGATAGTAAAGTGATTACCAGTTGGATCTCTAAACATGTTTGTACTGGATTTCTATTACTGGTAAATTTTTGATGGATAATTTAAATGTCAGCACATCTCAAAACGTTGGTTCTTGGACATTTGTTATTTTATTGTCATTTACTGAAGCATTCCTTTGTTTTATTTGTTGTATACCTGTTACGTACTGATACTGAAGGGAGAGAGAGAGAAAATAAAGATGGAGAAATGCTTACCGTTGAAGAAGACCAAATTTTTAAATATGCTCAATGCCTGGCAACTAAACAGAGAACAGATTGTACAGTGAGATGTGCATTTTTAACTGCCTTGGGCTACTTTTAGACAGGAGAGTGGAGAGCTTAAATCAAATTTGTTGTTCCTTACTTGATGCCAGAAATAGTAGGGAAGACTGTTGCTGTCATGAACTGCTGAAATTGTGTTGATGTTTAAAAACTGCCAACATTAAATTGAAAATATGTTGTTAATACTTTGAGGCAGTATTCTTCCATATGGGTTCAAATCATTTCAAATTAATATCAAGCAGCATTTTTGTTATGTTGTTTATGTAATTTTGTGCTTTCAGTAGACTTTAACTGTTTGTTTGATTTTTAAAAGCTCCCTGCATGCATGTAGCACAACTATAGCTGTAGCATAACATAAATCTTAATAGAAAACCGATAAAATCCCAAGCTTGCTTTTCTCAGTGTGGTTTCTAAAGCTCCCAGAGATGGACTATGTGTGTGTTACCTCGGTGCTGTTGGGCTGCTCCTTAGCACTGACAGTGTGAAGTGTCGTCTCCAGCTGTCCGAGCCCCCCGCAGTTGTCGCTCGCTAACAGCCAGTAATCCGTGCCGAACGACACCAAGAAGCAGAGTACACCCAAGCCCCCCAGCAAGCCCCCAACCAGGGCGGCTACCCCGGTCTTCATGCTGTAGCCAGCCAAAGCGAGCAGCCTCGAGTGAGGAGGCCAAATACAGTGGCCAAGCCCTGCACTAGGGGGCTGTGGGCATAGAGGGTTGAAGGGGGGGTTCAAGAGGGGTGAAAAGGGGGGGCTGGCTATTTTAGGAGATGGGAGAAGCAGACTAGGCCACACTTTGGTGTGGGTTACCCTAGGTGGGCTGCAAGCATTTCAGACTCAAAGAAGGGTGTGGAGTACTGAACGTTTTGAGTCAAGTTTACATCTGTAGACGTAATTTACAGATTAGACTAGACGTTACCTTTTTCATCATTATAAGAACAGCATGTTGTAATTTAATGTTAATTACTTCTCACTTATACCTGAAACAAGTAGACATTATGTCAGATTATAAACCTTCAACTGATGCTTACATTTGTAAGTAGAGTGATTTTATTGTAATTCAAATTTGAATAAAAGTAATTACTGTCTTGTTTTGCAGAAAGAAAACATTTCCCCAACAAAAAACAAATGGAAAAAAGTCATAAGAGTGAACTTGAACCTCTGTATAGAATGTAATGGAATGTACTTTTAATTTCTGTATAATTATGTAAATAATATATCAAAATAACAGCAAAAAAAAAGTTTTAACTGTTAGAAGCCTACAGTCAGTCAACATTATATTATAAATGGTTGTAGGCCTTTATAAGGCATTACACAGTGTCTTATCTTCAGAGTGCTGTGGTTTGTGTGCATTTGTGTTCAGTATGTCTTGTGCTAGACCACCAGTCTCTGGGAAGCATACTGGCTCTGGAATGCAGTGGGCACTGTTTATTGATCAAAGCTATTTAGCTCCTCAGTGTTACTCTTGGACGGAAAGCAGAAAATAAATTAGCCAGTGCATGTCAATTGCTCCCCAGTCTTCCTGACATTGCTCATCCTGCTGCGCATGGACACAAAAGGGCATGAAGAAGACGTGATGATGCATTTGAGTGTTATGAACTCTGTGTAATTTTTCCAGAACATGGACACAACTGAGCTCTAAGTAAAAGTGAAGTTAGGGTCAGTGTAGCCTTTTGTCTCTTGGTGTGAGCACAGTGCTGATTCAAGCTTACTGAATTAAATGGACTGCAATTGTCTAGTTATTTCACAAGGGGTGAAAATAGAGAGTCCAGCACAGTTTCATGATTGTCCTGTTCTAACCTGATTCAACTCATCAGTTAATCATCAGGTTTTCCTGTGTTTGAGCAAAGAAATCACCAGACTGTGCAGAATCGATGACCCCTGCGTTATTTCATTGATTTTAAAAACATTTTTAGTAACATTTTCCGGCTTAAGTGACCAAATTCTCATTTTTGCAATGCAGTTAGATTTGAAAATCTTTAATGTTTTTTGCTGTTTCATGTAGAACTCTAATTGAACTACTAAATTATATGAATATAGTTTATCTTTGTTATAATTATGAAACTCAAATATTTATGGACATGGTTTGAAGCAGTTTTGTGAGAATGACCCAACCAATTACCGCACACAACAATTTTTAGAAATAAAGAAAAAGAAGTCAAAACACTTGTGGCTTTGGAAAATGCTTATTGGCTTCTATTATTAGTGTGTTTTGAGTCCATTGGTTTTCAGTTCTTTTTCTGATAACAGGAAAATGCATTTAAGCAGCTCTCTGCTGTAACCAATCATATGCAATAGATAGAGACAGGGCTGGCTCTAGCATTTTGGGGACCTCAGCAGAATTTTTTGGGGGGTGGCACTCATGTGGCCAAGGCCAGTGGTCTCCAGCCCTGGTCCTGGAAAGCTACGTTCCTGCAGAGTTTAGTTCCAACCTGTATCCAACAAGTTGCCCCACTCCTTTCTTAGTTCTAATATATCTGATCCAGCCAGTCAGGGAATTGGGAAGTAGCTGGTTGATTAGCTGGAGTAGGTGTGTCAGATTGTGGTTGGAGCTAGGCTCTGCAGAAAGGTCTCTCTCCAGAACCAGGGTTGGAGACCACCAGCCAAGGCACCACCCCAGACCTACACCTTGTAGAGAATTTTTCCTGAGGCCTCAATCTATCTTTTTTTAATTTTAGCAATGTTAAGAACTTATTTGGTGTGTCCTATTCATAGTTCAGCTGTCTGTTTGATGGAATACTGTCATGGCAACAGATAGCAAGCTAACTGGTTTGCTAATGTTAAATAAACAAAGTTAGTATACCTAACCTAGGAATGTTTATTTAAGATTATATAAAATATATGTGTATAAATTAAACATAAATATAAGTATATTTATGTTTAATTTATACACATAAATCTTATATAACCCCCCCCCCCAATCTAGTGTCATGTTACACAATATACAATATACAACATTCAACATGGTAACTTACAGTTACTTTTAAAAGTTGTCAGTACATTACCTAAAAGGTGTCAGGGGGCGTCCTGGTGGCCCTGGGACCTTAAGAAGCCCCTTATGTTGCTTTTTAGGTGGAACTGGCTCTGGATAGAGCTTGGGTATTTCTTTAAGGATCTTGGCTTAAACCAGGATACAAACAACACAGGATGTAATAGTCAGAGATTTTGAATAGATTAATGGACGATGCTTGTCATATATATACACATGACATTATATATATATATGTGCATTATATACAAGATTTTATTTTAGTATTTATATGTACTAAGTAAAGCATGTGAGCCCTCTTTTCATCTGTTAAATAAAAAAAGCTCCCAAAAAATATTAGTAACTCAAGCACAGCAATTTTATTTAATGAATTTTAATCATATGCATGTCCAGCAACCCCACCCCTCTATACTCTGTGGTCACAGACAACACTGACATGCAGATGGTGATTTGAATGTGGCCACATTTTGGAGTGATCTTTTGGATGCACAGTTTATGTTTTGGGAACTTAACTGGCAAGTTGATGAATAGATTTAGTCTGCCAGAAAAGTTGTGCCTAACTTCAAAAACAAGTTTCAAAAGTAATGGTTCACAACACTTGATATATGGAAAAGCACTGACATATGTAAAATTACAGAAAACTCTCCAGCCATTACCAGGTTATTTTTGTGCCATCATTTTCCAAAAGAAGGTCACTTCAGGTTTTATAGTAATCAATTTTAATGTTATGACTATGGTTGAAATACTAATGTATATGTCATATTAATGTGAGGATATGTGCAAGAGTTCTGTTGTGAGGATAACTATTTCTCTTTTTCATTCTCAAAAGCAAAGCTGAGTTTCTTAGGCAGTCTGGCAGTGTTGGAGTCTTGGCCTTGTAGATATGTGGATGAATGACTGGCCAGTCCTTCAAAGGTCACTCTCACTGGTCCATTCAGACTGACCTCTCTTGTGCTGTGGGGATCTCTGTGCGCTGACCTGGGGCTCTGACCCACTGTTGGAAGGTGAAGAACACTCGAACAGTTAGTGCACATTAATGTACTGCATAACTCTGAAGGAATTAACAGAATTTGGTAAGGAGCAGGTTTACCTGTTAATGGCCTGGAGAGGCATGCGCCCTGGCTGTCTGCATCATCCCACTGATTAAAGCACAATCACATAGGATGGTCAGCTCCAAGTCATGTAATATTCCTCCAAATAACAATGTGTGAATAATGTAATAAAGACAAAGAATAGCATGATCAAAAATACTAGCATAACAAATGTAAGGTCATGTTAGCTGTTATAATTACCTCCCACTTCTGATCACACTACCTTCTTATATATAATATAATATAATATAATATAATACAATATAATATTTTTTGTTTATTTTCTAAGTGAAAATAAGCTATAACATTTATATGGCTAATTTTAACCATATATATATAGGACCCCTATATTTAAGAGTGTATACTATGACTGGCTAGAATATCAACTGTTTAAATGAACCTGGCTGCCATGTGTTTGCGTGGAGCTGTGTCTCTCTCCCAGACTCTGATGCCGCCGCAGACACGCTTTCCTACTGGCATCAACTGTGAAGTCCTGGTGCAGAGTATGTCTGCTGTAGGCTGTAATGTGCTACGGAAACACAGTCACAGTGTTATGCAGCCATACTTCTCTTAAATAGTCAAACAAGGAGTACAAAATCCAGTGTTAAGGTAATTCTAACACAACCAGTGAGCTGTATCTGCTTTAACCCAGGTATAATGTTCAGACTTCAACCCCTCAAATCCCAGGTTTTTTATTTAGTTATTAATGTTTGAGTAACTATCACTCAGTAATCACTTGGTAACGACTAAAATATTATATGATACAGATACAATTGTTATAAGACTGAGGAATTAAAGTGGTGGCCCACAAACAGGCCTTTAGGGTTAGATATATTCTCATTACACAGTCTGCATAAGAGATATGCTGTATTCTTGTGACACAAAATGTGTTAATATGGTGATAAAGCAGACTTCGATAATGTTTCGTACACATCATTTTTATATATAGTTATACTTTCTGAATTATACATGCACACAGCCCAAACTCTAAAACTCTACATCTCACTGTCATACCTTGTTGTTGAAGTTGCGCAGGTTTGTGGATAAAATCCGTCTTATGCTGTCCATCTCCTCTGGCAATAGTGATCTACTCTGGATTTGATTTTCCTCACTGCCATAAAGAAGTCATAGCAGTTAGGAGCTTATGGAAGTGCTTTATAGAGTTCTTTCATAGTTGCATGCATCTACAATACAGTGCAGTTGTTGGTGACCGCACTTCATTTATTTCATTTCCAATCAGAAAATATTTATTTAACAGAAAATTGCACAGAAGCCCCAACAACTACATATAATATCTTTTTTCAGTGTTTAATGTGTCCTCCTTTTGCTTTTATTACAGCTTCCATTCTTTTTTGGAGACTTGCTTTCAATCACTTCTTAGGAATCTGCACAGATTTTTTTCCATTTCTTCAAAGTTCAGTCTTAGAATCCTAATTACATATTTAGACTCATCAGTCCATAAAACCTTATTCTACATCTCATCTACAGTTTTAGCTTTTTACTGTAAATTTCCAGTTTCCAGTTTTAGAAACTTATTTTCCTCCTTTCCTCTTCTCTCTGCAAGTGTATTATCTTTAATCTTTTCAGAAATATTTCCTAGAAAAAAAAATTATGAAGTACTTAATAGCCATTTTTACTGGAAACTAGATAAATGAAGGATGTTCTCTGACTTTTGCTCAGTACTGTATATCAGTATATTTATTCATCCTCCATGTGTGTTGGAGATTCTCTCACGTTGCAAGCGATCTCTCTCTTTTGCCCTCATCATCCTCTCCCATCTGTTCTCGACGTTCCAGTTCCTGGTAGAGTCGCACAATGCTGGACTTGGGCTGCTTGTCCTCTCGAATCAGGAATCTCTTCAGGTACTTTGTGTTAAAATGTTCAAACCTGGGGATGTCCAGGCAAAAAGCTGTTGCAAAGTAATGCTTTTAGTAAACCCACCTGTACTGTAACAATGTTTTAAAAAAATCCCACATACGTTGCTGCACCTAATAAACTCACATCAGCGCAACACATGCTAAGGTGCCGCTGCCATATCAGTATTACTGGTCCACCACTAATATAATAGTGGTGATCCTATGGGTGTCCCTTTCCATTGATGGATGGTAACTGGATGTCTACAAAGCCACTAAATTTAGGCACAAGATGCATGAACCTAATAAGTTAGCAAACATGTGTATATACCATTATTATGTAAAATTAATCTAAGCTTTTGCGTTGAGTCTTTTGCACACTGTATGACTACTACAAAACTACATCAGCACACACCATTTAAATTTTAGATTCACAAAAAATATTCAACACAATTTGAATAATTTGAGACATATCCCAATATGAAGAGCTGCACTGCCCCCTGCTGGACAGTTTGTACCTATGCAAGGAAACTTGAAGCTTCACCATGATAAACATGGCGATCAGATTAGTATTCTCCTTCAGGACATTATTATGCTCAATTATAGGTCCATCCCTGTTAGCATTTCTCAAACAAATTAAGGGGTACATAAAACATAATACTTGTCTTTCCAGTAATGCTGTCCCCAGTAACCAACAACATCTTCGATCCCTGACAACAGGTGATCCAGGAGCTGTGAAGAGAATGACATATTAGCATTAATAAGGGAAATATATGCTAAGGTTATCCTTTTAGTCAAAGTACAATTCTAATATTTTGGCAAGTGACTTAATGTTTCAAATTACATTTGCAAGCCATGACAGCTTGGGACATCTTTTGAGTTAAAGGCTCTTTTATTGGCAGAGTTTCTCCCCAGCCAGCTATAATGGCAACCTAGATGTTTATTCAAAGCAGATGTTTAAAAAGGACCTTGTGTTTTTATATGTGGAGCTCTTAGAGGCTGATATTATATTCACTATTTATCTGTGCTTGCGGATAAAAATGTAGGAACTGGGCCTATGTCAGCAATTATTTAACCTTCAACCACTGTAGAACCTTTAACATCATTTATCATTTAACATTCAACTTTGAACATACATTTATTTAAGGTCCGAACACGCATTGAATTTTGGTAACCTGATGGATATTTCTTATCTTTTTAAGAGACTGTCAGTCCTCTTTGTTACTAAAATGACAGTTTCTCACAATAAAACTGAATGTCATTGTTGTCTGCATTTGTTTTAAGACATGACATTTGCTGAGATGTCAGCACTGCTTTAATGTAGTGCTGACCAACTTGCCTCCTGGAGATCTACCTTCAGAGTTTTGTTCCAACATGGATCTAATATGCGATCCAGCCAAACAAGGACTTCTGAAGAAGTTAATTAGCTGGAGCAGGCATGGTGGATTCAGTGGCAAACCATGACTATTAGAGCTAGGAACTCACTTCAGGAAGTAAATGTCAAAGCTTGGTCAAAAATTAGGAAAAAGTGCTTCTATGTGATTCTAGTAGTATGTTAAGCTAACTGCGACTCACATGAACATTTTTTGGCTGTTCCAGATTAAATGCAGACATTTAAAGCTTGTAACAGAGATATGAACATATTCTTTGCCTCATATCAGTTCAGTAAAGTGCCCTGGCACAGAGCTGCCACAGTTTTTACAGGCTACTACTTCATACTCACAGTCAGTGACTTATTTAGGAATTCTAGAAGGCCTAAACTGATACTTTTGCCCATCCGTGGTAAATCAAATTGTGATTGGACGATTCCGTCCAATTTCTGCTTTTTTCCGACCATTTATGTTGGTGGTCAATCTGACACATTAGGCCCTCGGTTGAGAAGGCCCTGAGGGTCCACTTCTAGGCAGACTGTGGATGGAACTGGACTCCACAGGAAGGTAGATCTTCAGGATCAGAGTTGATGACCACTGATCTAATTACTCACCCTGCAGTGGATCTCCTCACTCACTGTGGGCAGAACTCTCTTCTTCCTTTTTACATCAAGTAGCTCTACCAGAGGCTTGATGGTCATACCCTGAAGCACACATAATGGAGAGGTATTGATTGATTGATTCAGACGACCATTGAGGCACTTATCTTGCTTGTAGCTAGTAGCCTTTGATGTATATCTTGGACAGCAAGAGATCTTGTGTGCATTGATTAACCTGCACAAACACGGTGAACAGAATGACTACGATGGTGGTGGTGATGAAAAGCCTTTTCTTGGGAAAGTCTTCAATGAGAAAGACCAAAGAAAAACAGATTGCCCCTCTCAGGCCACCATAGGCAATGATGAATTGGTCTCGGAAGGTCACAGCATTGCGGCGAAGTTTGTTGACCACTGCTGTAAGAAGGAGCACACCTGAGGAGTGGAGCAGGGAGAACACAGGCCTAAAGATGATGGAAGAATAGATAAGTAAGGGAATCTGTAATTTAATTAATAATGCATTGAGCTGCATAATCCCAACATTGGGCTTGTAAAGAGTCAGCACATCATTATTGCCTCAGAGGTCTTATAAAGCAGTGTTCTATTTAGAGTTGTATGATTCTGCTTACTTGTAAGTTCAGGCTTCTCATTTTCGAGGAATGTCCAGAGACATTTTATCCACATTCAGTTTAAACCTGGCCTCATAAATATGCATCTACAATGATTCAAACCACCTCCTGAAGTGGTCCTTTTGATTGGATAGCAATCTGTCTCCAATACGCCTTGGTTCCATTTACACCTTTTGACAATCAGATAGCTGTCCGATCAGCATAAGAGGCATTAAGTGTAAATAGGTTCTGTGATACACACTTACCAAGTGCTCTCCAGAGCAGACAAAGGAAGAGTGTAGAGGAGACGAAGGGCCAGCTCCACATGTGGACATCCTGGATTGTGGACACACCCAGGAAGATGAAGATGAGGGTCTCACTCACGCTACTCCACATCTTCAGGAAGTACTTGATGGTAGTGTTGGACTTCTCAGAGACGTTGGCCTCCACATACTGCTTCATAGTTACGGCACAGGTCACAATGCTAAAGGCAAGACAGCACAGATCTCTCAGAGGGTCCTGTTTTATCTTATGCCTGTGTTTTAAGCTTTAACTTCTTTCTTTTAGAAGTATAGTCTTTGAAAACATTTGAGACAGGTTTGTATGGAAATACAGCTAACATATGATATATATATGTATATTATAACATCTGTACATCTGTACACCGGTGGAAAAAGCACAGAGAATCTGTACTTAAGTGAAAGTATGGGTACTGTGTCAGAATCTTACTCAGTGGAGGCAAAAATATGCTTTGGTGAAAGTAAAAATGTATCGACAATTAAACATTTAAAAACATAATTAGTAAACGTTTTAACAAAGACATTTAAATGATCATAAATACTTTTCTTTATTTGGTGTTCTGTTGTGGGGTGACTAATCGGTGGTAATAGTCCTCCGCTGAAGACAAATTGGTGTAGTTGTGGGCGAATGTGATATTTAATTTTTCAATAATATGAATTTGGATGTTTTAATAAAAACTATTCAAATACACAAGAACTCAACTGAAAAAAAACTTCTGGCCTTCATTTTCCTGATGGTCAAAATGAAAATAATTTTTTTCCTTCTTGGAATAATAATTGAGTAATAAGTAAGTTTTCAGATTTATTAATACATATTAATAAAAAAATACAAACCTTCCAAAATAAGACTTAAGTGCAGGAATGTACAAAGAAGTACAAATACTCAAGTATTTTCTGCCCCTGTAAAACCTTAGAAACCTTAATATTAACCTGTGTTACTTCTTCAAATGGCAGCTCAAAATTTCTAAGTGGAGCATTGTGTGCATTACAGAAGTAGATGAAAAGGTGGCAGTACTGCAAAGTATGACTTACAGTGGTTTCCAGCTCCAGTCTTGGAGCTTTTTCCTGTTCCAGCACAGTTGATTCAGTTCAAAGACTTGATCGTTAGTAGAAAAAACACAGGACAGTTAAGTACAGTTGGAGCCTCCAGCATTGAAGCTGGCAAACATTGTTTTAGACTATTGTAAATACTACTTAGCAACACTGCCAGCTTTTGTCTACTTCTGCAATACACGCAATTCTCCAATCAGAAATTCTGAGCTGTAATTTTTTGAGGTGCTGTTGCACTTAGCATTACAGACAGGCCAATATGAAAGTATCCAATGAAGTTCAGAAACACTGGTCTAAAGCTAGATTTCTGCCTTTCCTTTCCAAGTAAATGTTTGAAGGTTCTGAAGAAGAAATTTTGACAGATTTTCTCTTCTTAAAATGAAGGCTAGTCTTGTATCAGCTTGTATGGGCTGTGTTTGTGTATTTTTACTGAGTGCAGATGGCCCATTCACAGTGCAGAGTGTCTTTAAGGGTTTTCCCAGACTTAGGGAAGTGACCAGATTATCATCAATTGACTGAAGAAGAACTTAATGGACTCTTAGCCTACATTGAAATGAGAACTCCACTTTAAGTTCACACAACAAAGAAAGAATTGACAAAAATGTTCATGCAGTAGTTTGACGCAATATGAGGAAGTCAGACATTGGTTAACCATATCCTGAAACAGTCTGAAAAGCTACAGTCTGTGCCATGTTCAGTCACACTTCCTTACCAAAATACCCATAGTCTGTTATTTTGAAATGTTTTTGTATGCCATGAATTCTAGTTTTGGACAACTGCACACATGCATGGAATTGTGTGTGAAGTGATAATACTGAGTAATATTTAGTGACAAATTTATTGAATGTATTTGACATACAATGTACTTTTTCATTTCAGGAATCAAGATATGTACAGGCAAAAAGTTTAATTACTGCTATTAACTAGAAAACATGGTGCTGCTAGCAAAAACAAGCTAAGACAAAAAGCTACAACTAAAACTAAAAAACTGCTTTTTGTTTATATCATGGTGTGAATCCCTGAAGGACTGTGGTTGCTAATCCCCGTTCCATTACAACTATCACTGAAGCCCTACTTTACCTCTAATGTGACTGGTCAGCATGCTCATAACATAGGCTTCCTGTTGCTCTTTTTTCAATGTGGGGCACCCAGAGCACTCAGCAAAAAACAGCCGTGCAGGGCGCAGCTTGGCTGTTAGCTTTGCCGTTAAGAAGTTTAGTCAAATTAGCTAGCAAGCTAACTGCTACCTGTTCAGATTCCATATTTGTGAGTGTTCAAGAGGGTAAATCATTGCCTTTTATAAATGTATGTATGTGTTTATGTGTGTATGTATGAATACAAAGTTTAGGAGCCTGTAGAGATAGTAGAATTGAAGAACAGATGTAAGTAGAATTACCTCATTTTAGTTAGTTTTTCTTAAATGCTGCTTTGTTTTTATAACACATTGCAGGACCTTCTGGAGAACTCCAGTGGACAGAATGAAAGATGTGGAACCTGACACACTGTTCCCCTTGAATGGCTGTATTTTTGGGTCAGAGGTGTAGCTGTACTCACGCCATGATGCCAGAGAAGTGAAGCATTTCTGAGGTGAGGTAGGACAGGTAGCTGTAGAGGAAGACGAAGAGTGGGGCAATGACCTGGGCTCTGGCAGTGAAACGAGTGGTGAGGGCAGCAACCAGCCCAAAGAACAGGCCCACACACAGGCCTCCCAAGCCCACCACCACAAATTGACACCCTCCTGCCAGCACGTCCACACCAGAAACAGAGGGCATGCGTAGGAAGGACTCAAACAGCTTATACAGCACCTGCAGAACAATGGTGGAAGTTCAGACAAACTAGTCCGTTGGAGGTAAAAACATAAGTTTATAAGAACAGTTTATATTGTTCACCCTGATCCACAATTAAAAGCAAAACCCCAGTAGATGTTAAGAGTGGGAAATGAAGTTTCCATTCTTACCACAGTGACTGCATCATTAAGCAGTGATTCTCCAAACACCAGGATGTGAAGCTGCTCATTGACATGGATCTCCTCAAACACTGAGAGCACCGCCACCGGGTCCACAGCAGCAATCAGACTACCAAATAGCAGGAAGTGGAGCAGGCTGACCTCCTCCAGGCCCCAGCCACCAAGCTGGCACAACCCGTACAGCGAAAGCCCAATACCCAGCACATTCCACAGCGTGCCCAGCACAGCATACCACAGGATGGTGCCCAGGTTTTCAAAGAAGAGGCGACCTGGTAGGAAGTAACCAGCATCCAGAACAATAGGTGGGAGCAGATAGAGGAAGAAAGCTTCAGCACTCAGGACAGGTGGTGCAGTGTGGCGGACCCCGTAGATGACTCCTCCAACCAGTAGGCCCACCATAATTAGCAGACAGCTCTCAGGAACCACGGCAGGTATCCGGCCAGACCAGTGGAACCCTGGGAAAAATACCACCATATCTTTAAAACTTTAGCCTTGTTATGGACAGTTCCAGTGTTTTTATTTAAGCAGTCTTGTATTGTGGCATCATTTTCCATTACACTGAAATAGCTTCTTTTGGTTTATTGCCATTAGGAAATGGATATGGATGTTTCGGGAGATACTAAAGTGATTGAGTCAGCCAACAAGTACCATAGAGGCTCATTTTGCCTGTAATGCTTGTGTGCTCAGCTTTGAAAATTGTATTCATTATTCACAACACATGCTTGGTGGTGACTCCTTACCTATTCCACATATCTTAGTTCTTGCTTTAATCATAAGTAGATACCCCTTCAAACTTGGTAAAGTATTCTAAAATAGCATCTCTTTGCTGTCCAGGAACATTTTAAGCATATTATCAGAGAATGCATCCATGATCAAAGGGCACCCAAATGAGTCATAGCATTAGAACTGAGTGAACAAGGCTTGGATTTGAAGGAGAACCAACACATGCTTTTCCGTCTGGTAGTATCTGTTACAAAAGATCTTTCAAATTCTCACCTAGTTTAGCCAATGATGCCAACATGATCCACAGCACAATCTCAAAGGGAGCTTGCACATGGTGGTAGTCCACACTGAAGACTCTGAAAGCTATAGGCACAGTGGAGTGGCCCTCCGCTTCATCCATATAATTTTTGTCCATGCTGTGGTTCCCCAGTGAAGGTGGAGGATCTTGAGTGGACATTAGAGCAGATGAAGGGTCCAGTAGTAGTAGGAGAAGGTGGATGTAAGTCAAAGTCATGGGCATCCAGAGTTTTAGCATGCTACAGCCTGGCCAGGGGAGCAAGGGAGAGCAGGACGGGGCATGCGTGTGTATATGTCTGTCTGGCCGTCCTTCCACGCCCCACCCTCCACCAGCACTGGCTGGATGCACTCAACCACTAATGTGCACAGGAATCCCTGAGCTAGCAGTGGAATCCAACCAGCTGTAAGAGACTTTTAAGGGGGAGCCTCATCAATAAGACCAGGACAGAAAAGACCAGTGTGGATTTAAAGTAATATGACTTGATTTTCAGGCACATTATTCTGCCAGAAAGACTGTTTCACATTTGCTAATCTAAAGGAAAGTAGCAACAGGAAAAGGTAAGCAGATGATGACATTTTCATTATTTGGTGTCATTGGACTATTTTAAGTACAGTACCATAATATAGCAGCAGGTGGCAGACACACGGCTTCTTTTTTGTGGAGTATACATCAAACAACGTTGTCTTTATCTTATGTCATTTGAAAAATCTTGAAACAATAATTTTCCTATTTATTTCCTAATTCATCTTTTTTATGTTGTTTATGTAGCCCCTTAAAATCCCAGGCTTATTACATACTGAGGATTATTAGTCAGCAACTACAGGGGCTTCAATGCAAACTAGCTGAACTATTCTTAGGTTATAGAAGTATGTAATAAAATTCTGACAATTTAAGTGGTTAACTAAAATAATATATTATATGGTCTACTGGATGCTACACTCTCTAAAAAAGGGTTCTTCAGTAAAAACAATGCTTGACATAGTCACAATGGAAGAACCCTCCTGAAGAACCATTTCATTAAAGCATGCACATGGTTCTTTGATTGTTCGTGGTTTTCTCTCTCTCTCTCTCTCTCTCTCTCTATATGTATATATATATATATACATATACACATATATAATATTTTTACTAAATTAGTTAACATTTGTGGACCATGTGTTATGTAAACAAAGTAATTAACAATTCTATTGATTGGTGTTTATGTATTTAGTAACTGGATAATGAACACCTGCATTATGAGTTTAGCTCATTATCAGCATTTAGTAGTATCTTTTCTTGCCTTAAATGATGCTATTAATAGAACTTCTACATTCTATTTAAAAGACACAATTGCAGTGTACATAACTGATAACACTTATAAATATACTTATAAATTCCTCAAATAAATCACCAAGAACACATAATGAACAATGGATAAGGCAGGCTATTGTTTAGTTGAAATTTTATTTAGTTCATACAACCTCTCAGTGAAAATGTACCTTTTTATTATATTATTTGATTAATTGATCTTGCTCTTGTTCAGATTAAGCACAATTCATCATACCACACCAATTAAAAGACATTTTTTTCTGTAATCTTCCATTGTGACATTTGCCCACTTTTACAACGCCACCTGAGTTTTGATTGCATAACTGTGCATCAAAGGAAGTGGAAAAATATTAATAACATGTTTTTCTTCAAAATATATCATATGTAAAGAAAATGCAGTATGATTTTAATTCATTTTGACTTGAATTACTTTGGTATTACAGTTTGTTAATACTATATACATATACTAATATGTTCATAGTTTGTAAGCAGTGAATAATGTCAATTAAGGGAACTTTAATTTAAAATATTACCAAAAAGATAATAAATCAGAGCAAAATGTTGATATGGAGAAACAATTATAAAATTGACAACTGTCCTGTTGTAATTTACTTACAAATTGTATACTGTTTTATTTCTTTCAGTTTAAATGGACTTTTTTGTCATTGAAAGTCTCTGTAGACGCTATTAACTTTAAACATTTTCACAGACAGTCACAGTGCCCAGGCCTTTTGGGCTGTTCTGCATTGGAAATGCGTAGCACTGGAGAGCTGAAGACGGAGCTGGCCCGCTGGCTGTGGTGCCCCTGACTGGTGGTGACATTGTGGGTCATTTGGTTTGGTCTGGCCTCGATGTCCAGGCTTGAGTCCAGGTATGCATGCTGACTGAGCTGAGGCAGGCTGGGCTGGGGAAGGAGCGGAAGCAGGCTGCAACCTGGAGAAGACCCAGGGCACGCCAGCCTCTCCTGCAAGTACTGGCTGTACACTTCTTGGAGCTTTCTATCCAGGTAACCGTTGATCATGGAGTTTGTTGGCGGCTGTCCGTTCAGCATGATGCTGCTGTCCATGACCAGGTAGCCATCATCAGGTACATCGGCCTGCTGGGGAATGAACCGAAGCTGTTTGGGACTGGAGTCATCCACATCTGATGTGTGCCACTCTTGCTGTTTCATAGAGTCAAGGTGAAACTCTTGGCTGTCGGAGAGGCTGCTCAGTTGCAGAGGGTTGGTTTGGCATTTCTTATTCAAGACACTGCTGGGCTCCAGACTTTGACTCAGACTTACACAGGGCTTACAGAGGTACAGGTCAGAGCTGGGCTTAGGAGCCTTGTATCCTGACCGTTTCTCCACATGCTTCACATCTGACAATGCTGGCTTGACAGGCGGTGGTATGTCTGTCAGAGCAAGTTACAAGAGTACGTCATAAAAATGCATTTTTCACCAATGTATTTTTTTTCTTCCTTTTGCAGATACTTTACAGCCTACCTTTCACCTGAGAGAGACTGTGGGAGCCTTGGATGCTGTTTGTAGGGGGAGTGAATGATGCCTTGGTAATATCTGGTGAATGTGTGTCCTCTTGTCTGTACTTTAAAAGATGTATGAAGCTCTCTCCCAGCATGTCCAATCAAACCTTTAGATACAATACAAACCGTTATTCAACAGTAGCAACATCATTAGTATCAATGTTAAAGTGGTAGAAGTCACCCTGGTCCTAAAAGTGTATCCAAGTCCAACAATGAAAGAGCCTTCTCCTAAAAGGACTTAAAAGTAGATATATTTAGTGGCACTGGTTCTCTTTATTTAATTCAAATCCCTTTTATGGATAAACCCCAATGGCTAGCTTTAATTTGTTAAATATGTTACATTTATCAATTATGTAGACTTCACCAATGTGAATTTACCCCCAGGTGTAGCTACATGTTTATGTATAGTGTGTAAAGGGCTATATATTTTTTAAAAAGTAAAACACATAAACAAACAATAAATAATCAAATAAACAGAAAAATTCTCCCTGCTCCATGACAACACAGTATAAAAATAATATACAAAAGCCACTTATAGAAGTTACACAAGTTGTCATACTAATAGTGATGGATTTAAACAAATTACTTAGCAGATTATCTATTGTATTCCAGCATTTAATGAAACAGTTTTGATATTTGGGGTAAAACACATTTATGTAATTTGATGTCTGTTACAATGCCACTTACACAAGTTAACACAACAAGACAGGAGAACAAAATCAGTAGTAGAATGTATTGCATGAATTTTAGTTATTAGAGTGTTTGTGTAAAACTTCAATGCCATGTGAATAAAATATTGTACAAACCTCATTTCCAAGAAATTTTGGAAATGTTAGTAAAAACAGAAAGCAGTGAGTACTAAATTGTGTTTGACTTGTATTAAACTGAAAACTGAACAAAAACATGATACTTGATGTTTTACCTCATGAATTTTATTTTTTTTTTAATATCTTTTTTGGTAAATATGCACTCATTCCAAATTAGATACATGTTCCAAAAAAGTTGGGACAGGAGCATGTTTACCACTTTTATGGACAAACCCCAATGGCTAGCTACATCACCTTTCGTTTTTACAACAATAATGAACATTTGGACCATTAAGACACATATTGATTCAGTTTTGAATGCAGAATTTATTTGCCTTTCCTCTGTTATACAAGTCTTTAGCATAACCATATACAGCCTTTATTATCATGTTTTGTGCTTCAGAATGTGCCACGTTTTCAGTGGGAGACTAAGGGCAGGCCAGTCTTGTACACACACTTTGTAATTACGCAGCATGGTGAAATAAGTATGGACGTCCCTGAAAAAAATGTTGTTTAGAAAGTAACGTATGCTGTTCCAAATGTGATCAATCATTCTAGCAAATTGGCTTAAAGTCGGAGTTCAAAACCCATTTTGGACTTTTTCTATGACCCTATACCTTAATTATGTTCATTTTACTTAAACAAATGATTGAACATTTGTCACTAACAAAACAATCATAATGCTACCAAAACTTCAATCAAATGTTTCGGCAGTGACTCAGCAGAGAACATTTTAGCTAAGTTTTGGCGTTAGCTCAAAATCCAAAAACGCAAAAACACTAGCCAGTACATGACAAGCAAACACAGCTTTGAACAGTTGTACACACATAAAATCATAATATTTTTATTAAAACACAAAGTGTACTTAATTGCAGAAAATATGAGTTTCAGTAGTGACAATGTTAATGTTACAAACTGATTTTCATGCTTTGGGACACTTTTACCTCAAAACAATGGGATCTAACTGCTCATCATGTGGTCATGAGGGACAGAGATGCAGTCTCACTTTCTAAAGTCCTAAAATCCAGGGGTGTGGCTAAAATGAAGCTCCTCCTAGGGACTAAAACTCTTGTTTCAGTAGAGACATGAAAACATGGGACAGGAATTTTTGAATAAGGTTTTTTTTTTTTTATCAAACTTTGACTTCAACCATGATAGACTCTGGCTTTTGAACTTCGTGCCATTACCAATCTGTATGGTCTTTGTCTTCTTTGGCCTGGAGAACACGGCATACATATTTTCCATAAACAGTTTGAAATGTTGACTCATCAGACCACAGTACTCATTTCCACAGTGCATCAGACCATTGCAGATGAGCTTGAGCCCAGAGAAGTCAGTTGCATTAAGGTTAGCATTAGGGTTAGCTTTGTTGAATATGTCTTCATAAATGGTGTATTACAACGGTTTGTAAAATGTATTCCTGAGCCCATACAGTGATGACCAGGACAGAAGCAGGCTGGTTTTTAATGCAGTTCCGTTTGAAGTATTAAAGGTCACAGGCATTCAGTTGTCGATGCCTTTTATGCATAAAGATTTCACTCCGGCACTCTGGATTAGGCCTTTCCTTGATGCTTCTTTAACACCCAAGCATGATTACTTCACCTGTTTAAGATGTTTTGTAAACACTTCACAACATTCCTAGTCTTAAATTGTCCCTGACTCAACTTTGTTGCAACACGTTGCAGGCATCGATTTCAGGATGAGTACAAAACACAATGAAGCAATTAACTTTAAACATTAAATATCACATTATGTACTGTTTTGGTTTAAATACAGGTCAAAGTGGATTTACAATTTCCAGTTATCGTAACAGTTTATTGTGTACATAATCTGTGGCATGCACTGATTTTGGATTTGATCAATGGAAAAACTGAAGAAGTTTCAGGTCCAGTCTCTCAGTAATCTCAAACTAGGAATTATTTACTGGATCAAAACGTAAATAAAGAGGAAACATAACATACAAACCTTCAGTATTTTGCTTTTTCTACAATTATATTTCTGTTGAGTATTTTTATGAGATGATACAATTGAATAGCTTTTCCACCACCCAACCCTGAGATAAGGTTACTCTGAGATGTTATGCATGGATTTCGGAAATACTGTGAAATTTAAAAGGAAGCTTTTGTGCTACAACAAGCAGGTTTAGATGACAATGGTTGCAAAAAAGGCAGGCTGCTTACCAGGATAATGGATTTTATAAGGACGATAAGGATCCCAGCAGTGTAGGTTAATCCACTGTTCAGTTCAGGTCTTCAGTTACCTCTTTCTGACAACCAAGATAAGAGAGGACAACAGCAGATTCTTTCACATAGCTATAAACATCTGCTTTCTAAACTGGAACAGGAACTGATGCTCAGTAACACGAGTGCCAGAGGTCACACTTTGAGCTGAAAATGAAACTGATGTGGTCCAACTTACGAAATGAGCAGATCCCTTATTTTCCAGGGACTTTGTTCTTTTTTAAACAACTTTGCTTTAAAGAAAGTATGACTGTAGTGTATGAGGCTTTGCAACAGTGCAGAAATTACTCATTAATCTTAGAGTAAGGATTCCCCAAAAAAAAAAGTTTTATAATAAGAATGCATTGGAGTTGGAGTTGAGATGCAGTTTTGAAAATGCCGTTTGGCTTGTGGAATGACTGGATTAGCTGTTTTCCCTATTCTAATGCACCTCAACCCTGGGTAATTAACTTATGAGTTGAATCATTTGTATTAGAACATGCAAAATATCAACTATGAAGGGCAGTGGCTCCTCAGAGCTGAGATTTGGCTACTATTCTAGATCACACCACCAAGCTATTTGTAATGCGTTAATCTAGTACTGACATTGCCTAGAACAGAAAGGAAATCTGGCCTAATGGATTAAAAGGAGTCAGTCAGAAGAGGAAAAAATCTGCCCTTTGTATTTAGGGAAATAGAAGTAAATAAGAACTGGATCAGGTAGTGGCCATAAGAGTAAGTTTCTTACAGAGCTCATATTACGGAAATCAGAAATGTTGTCACTTTTTTAAAATAAGAGATAGTATGAAGATAGTATAAAGTAGAGTATAAAGTTTCAAAATCTACCTTTCACTTCCCATTCCGTACAGTCCATATATGGAAACTGAGCTTCAAAAAAAGCAAACTAAGTCACCTGTTTTGAATTCATTGTTTTTGTGATGTCACAAAAAATAACACATTTACATACACTGATGAACCGAAACATTATGACCACTCACAGAGGAATCAAATAATGTTGATTAACGCCTGTCAGAGTCAACAGTTACATTAGGGCATGTCAGTGTCTGAGATATATTAGACAGACAACAAATTGTTGGTTCTGGTCGTGATGGTTGTGGGAGAAATGGGCAGGGGTGAAGACCTCAGCAACTTCGACAAGGGCCAAATTGTTATGGCCAAAGAACTAGGTCAGAGCATTTCCAAAAGCTTGGCTTCTGGGGTGCTTCTGGTCAGCAGTGGTAAGTACCTAACGACCAGGGTTGGGATGTAACAGAATACAACTATTTAGGATATGTATTCAGAATATAGAAGTTAAGTATGTGTATTCAGTCCAAGTTACTTTTGTAAAGGCAGCATTCAGAATAGTTACTTTTTACATTTTAGGAGAATACTTTAAGAATACTTACCCACCAAGTTTTAAAAAGAATACAATATTCAAAAGAAACCATCAGTGCTTGTTTATCAACTATTTTAGAATCCGTGCATGGCATGTAGCAAACATGCTTGATAGACGACTTCTAAAGAGGACCTAGGTAAATGTCTTCTTTACAAACACTGAAGTTACTGCTAAAGCCTGAGTAGACTGATAAATAAATGAAATGTTATTTTATTTTATTTATATATTATTTCAGTGTTACTAGCTCTTTTAAAGGATGATAAACTAATATTCTCCTCAGTAGTGGACATGTTTGCAAGCATTGGTGCATGGACATGTTTGCAAGCACTGGACTCTTGTTTGTGGGGGAGCAGCAGTGGTGCGAGAGGGAAATAAAAGTTAAATTTTCTAAATTTAATTGATAAGCAGCCTTCCGCCCAATGACCACTGGGATAGGCTCCAGCTCCCCCTGTGACCCAGAAGGATAAGCGGCTTAGAAAAATTAGCAAATTTTTTTCATGAAGTGCATTAACAGAAGAATTAAATGAAGAGAACTGCTGACCAGTAACAGCGAGGAACAGTGTGAATTAACAACAAAAAAGGTTTTTCCCATGTTCCTTTTCGAGATGGTTTGTAAATGTATTCTAAATGTCTTCTGTATATGTTACTTTTCATGTATTGTAATGGAATACATCACTGAATACATTTAGGACAGTGTATTGAGTATTCAGGCATCATTACTTACCTGCCACCGACAGTGGTCCGAGGAGGGACAAACCACCACCAGGCAACAGGTTGCTGGGCAGCCAAAGCTCATTGATGCATAAGGGTAACAAAGGATATCTCATCTGGTCTGAACTGACAGAAGGGCAACTTTGGCACAAGTCACAGAAATTTTTAATGGTTACAGCACACATGCATATGGGGCTGCGTAGCCACAGACCGGTCAGAGTGCCCATGCTAACCCATGTCCACGATTAAAAGCTCCTATAATGAGCATACGAGCATCAGAACTGGACTTTGGAACAATGGAAGAAGCATGCCTGGTCCGATGAGTCCTGTTTTTTTCACATCACGTGGATGGCTAGTTATGTGTGTACTTTTTACCTGGGGAAGTGATGGCACCAGGATGCACTGTGAGGGAAGAAGACAAGCTGGTGGAGGGAAAGTGATGCCCTTAGCATTGCGAAACACTGGGTCTGTGCATCCATGTGGACATCAATTTGACCCTGCCACCTACCTAAACATTGTTGCAGTCCAGGTACACCACTTCAGGGCAATGGTATTCCCTGATAGCAATGGACTCTTTCAGCAGGATGATGTGCTCTGCCACACTGCACACGTTGTTTGGGACTGGTTTGAGGAACATGATGAAGAGTTCAGGGTGTTGCCCTGGCCTCCAAATTCCCCAGATCTCAATCCGATCAAGCACCTGTGGGACGTGCTGAAGCAAGAAGTCCAATCTGCTGCTGCTCCATCTCGCAACTTACAGGACTTAAAGGATCTGCTGCTAACATCTTCGTGCCAGTTACCACAGGGCACCCTCAGAGGTCTCGTAGAGACCATGCCTCAGTGGGTCGGAGCTGTTTTGGTGGCACGCGACAAACAGCATATTCGGTCATAATCTTTTGGCTCACTGGTGTGTATCTGCCTATACTTTAAATTCATTGTTTCTTTGATGTCATTCAGTGACGTATTCAGCCTACAACCGTTTAGCCCCGCCCATTTGCATTGGATTTATAAGGAGTTTTTCAGTCTGGATTACTTTTTGAGTAAGGCTCAATTTAGGGCAGCCAATCAGATAAGAGAAAAGGCACATTAACAAAAACAGCCTGTTTCATTCCAAGGGATGAAGTGAGATTGGTAAATGATTGTGTAAAAATGAATTATGGCACATAAAACTACACAAATGTCATAAGTGGACCTCACAGAAAGAAAACACAAGATGTAGGATATGAGCCCTTTAAGCTTATCACAAAACACGTTCCTGACATCCTAACTTTCATCAATTATTATTTTACATCTAAACTACAATATCAGGTTATAATTGGTTGGACGGCTCTCTAAGCCTTAACATTATGTTCAAAACATTATGTTTTGTTCAATTTTGTTGTATTCCTTTGATAATCACCATTTCTCTGGAATTTGTTCACAGCATTTCCTGTAGACGGGAAGTTGGCTCAGACGGTTCTTCCCCAAAAAGTTCATTTGTATAATGTGACAGCATCTGACAAGAAACGGGAAGAAACATTTTAATGAAACAATGTTTTATTTTCCTGCTCCCTTCAATAATACAGTTCTTTCCGCTTTTTTGGCATGACCCTTCCTATTTGTTCATAAAAAAGAAAACCAATGTACACTATCAAGACACTCCGAAGAAAGAATTAAAGGTACACTAAGTAATGTTTTTTCCGTTTATTACTTTTTTTAAAAACAGTGATTAAAGGGTAGCCACTGGAAGCTTCTGTTAACCAATTATATATAAGAACTGTTCTACTATGTGGAAATGTCATTTTGTGGCTCAATAAGAAAACTAGCCGATTATAATTTAACAGAAGGTAATTGCTTTTAATGAGGTTACCTTGCCACTTCATAGGAAAAGTAGCATACTTTAAAATTACCTCATATTGTAAATACATATAGTAAATTATTGTGTAAAGAAACAAAAGCAGTGGCTTAGTTATTTGTATATAATAAACCCTAAACATTTTCTTAATATAGACCGCTGCAGAAGTCATCCTTCCAACTCAAAGGCCATCAAGAGCCATAACTTACTATGTAATACTGCATTATAATTTGGGTTATTTGTAGTATTACTGAAAAAGCCTTAAAGGAAATTTCTATTTAGTGTATCAAAAAATAAAAACAAACAGTACAAAATGAGAGCAGACTTAAGACTACAGCACTAGACTCTATGAGACCAGAGCGAAACAATTAAGAAAGCACAAGACATAACTATTACTTATAGCCCTTTAACATTCTTTAATATGGATTTTTTTAAAGACGTGAATTAATAGTGAAAATTTAGATGAATTCTAAGTGCATTGTGTATGTTGCAATGCAGGCACTGATTAGTTGCTTGCAAATGGCACTTCATAAACAAATACCACCACACGAATGTATGCTTAACAACTGAATTGTGCTAGGACATCACGCACGTAATTCTAATAACTAACAAGAATATGTAATCCACTGTCGTAAATCATTCGTGTTGTCTTTAAGACGTGTAGGAGCAGGCTGGATAAAAATATCCAATTTGGAGGGGATAACAATGCCAAAAATGATGGCGGTGGAATGCTGATGGGAGTAAAAGGAGATAACAGGTAGTTTTATTTGTGATTGCTGTAAGCGAAGGGGGAAAGCACTGGAGTCTGGCTGCAGTCATGGAGACATACAGGGTGACGGAAGATGCTGTGGACTACTGCTGCTCTTTTCTGGCTTGAGCCTCTGCTTCCTGAGGAGAGAAAAAAAACACAGATAACATTTCTGGTCAAACAATGTGAAGAATGAGAAGTTAAAGATTTACTTCTGTTTACCTCAGAGCTACCAGTATGTGCTTTGGCAGGACTGCTTTCTGCCAATATGAGTTACATAAATGGAAAGTTTCTTAAACTAGTATTTCATGCAGGCAAAGACTGAAATGAAATTACATCATCCACAACATAATTTTTTTTTCTTTCATTTTTTCCAAAAAAAGACATGAATGCTGCAGTGTGGTGCTCAAAACTTCCATACAGCTGTTTTTTCAACCAGCTTGCCAGTTTATTAGCAATGTCACTGTCATATTTGTACCAGGGTCATTGTCTGAAAAGGTTGGCATTTGGAATGAGCGGAAAAAATCTTAAAACTAAATATCTTATAATATTTTCCAATATTATCTGTTAACACTTTTAATGAGAAAAGAGGTTGATGTGCAATGCATTTTTAGATATTTAAATTAAAAAAACAATTCTAGTGCGTATGTCACTGGTGTTATTGCATGAAAGTTTTTATTAAATGAAATGTTATTGAAATACAAATACTTTGAATGCAAAGATGTAACAAATACAGCATTTACATGCTTTTATATGGAATATTATTCTTATGTCTCAGTCTTTCATTAAAATGATAGAATTAAACAGATTCAAGGATTTTTTTACTTACATACTTTTGTGGTAGATCTTTATTCATTAAATAAAGGAAAAATCTACTAAACTGTAACTCCAGTACATGGGCAGATTAGGCTGTTGGTCTTTAATGTGTATAATGGTTAATGGAGTTAACCAAATGTGAAAGTCTGACCCTGTTTAACACCATTGGTAACACCAGCAGTGGTACAGACAGATCTCAAAATTGCTGACACATTTAGGTAAAATGGTCTTGCTTAAAAATGATAAAAATAATAATTTAGCACTTAGCAGTTTTATTTATGAAATTATTTTGAATAAATATTGGGGATTTGGAAAATTCAACACTCGTAACAGGCAGAAGTTATTGCAGTTTGATTCGGTCAATCTTTTGACCCAAAAAGTAGTCAACTGAAAATAAACAAAAACACTGAAAACTTTTTAAAGTGTTCTGATCACACCAGTGACAAAATTTGGGCATTTATATTTTTAAAATCTGAATGAAAGACTGATTATATGTTATGTAAAAACATATATCAAGTCATATGTAAAGTTTGAACCCTATGTTTGGTTGATGTTCTAAGTTAACACATCCTCTGCAGGAAACAATCTTAAATATGACATTTTCCTGCAAATTTTAGCCCACATTTTCTGGTTATTTCCTGAGTTTAACATATTTGGAAAAAAACACAAGGCCACACATGCATAATGCATGTGAGTAAAGAATTTATGTATCACTAAACATGATAAGAATACTGACTAAAACAAATAAATTATAGGATGTTTTTAACTTCAACAACACTTCAGACACACTCTGTCCCCCTGTCCAGATAATGACCCACCAGTGCATCATCCTAACATACCACTACCATGTTAGTGTCACTGCTGTGCTGTAAAAGGTCCACAATATCTGATGGTGTTCCTATGGTGGTCCATCCATTGATGGATCGGGTACAGGGGACTGATAAATTGTGCAGCAACTGATTATTATTATTTGGTTGGTGTACCTGATAAAATGACCAATAAGTGCAGGCAACTCTGTGTAGATGTACCCACATGGTTGAAAAAGCTTCTTCATGGTGGTTGATGCTGAAGTATATTAAATCAAATCTGAGCAGTGAAGGGGCTTGTATTCTGAGTATTCTGAGAATTCTGCCACACCCATTTCAGTTCCCTAGTAGGTGGCTAGGGAGGGCTAGAGAGCGGAAACAGGGGATTCTGCCTGTGAATCCGATCAGAATGGAGGCTAAACTCACCCTTTAGCTCATATTCTGAGCTCAGCAGTGAGCACTTGCTCTAAACAGTAATTATCAGCCTCCAGGTCCCTCCAGTAGTTAGCAGGGGAGAGTAAGCAGTAGGGCTGAACAATATGGACAGTCACTGTCATAACAATCCATTTCTCCATCCATCCATATTTCTCCATACCATTTCAGAGATACAATGTACATTTTAATGAACTGAAAACATGATATTGAACATTTAATGTGTCAATCGGATTGGACTGCATTATGTTTGGCCAAAACAATTTATGTTTGTTGGGTCATGTAAATGCCTTGATTGCAGTACACCCTTCTATGATATCAGCATTGTAAAGCCCGATGTCACAATAATGCTTAAGGAGTGTTGTACAGCCACAGTAAGCAGGGCGTTTGGAACGTAGCCGGGGCTCATCAGACAGGATTCTGGACCCACTGAGGCATGCTGCTGGCCTTTAGGAAGGGGCAGCAGCTTAATTAACGCTGGGGCTGATGGGGGCTGGACAGGGCCATTACTCCACAGCATTGTACCAGCCCAGCGGGGGCAGGCACCCGGCCTGCCAAATCCGATAGGGCGGCTGGACTCAGTGCCATTATTGTTATTCGCTCACAGTCACATTCCAGCAAGCAAGAACATTAATAATATGCAAGGTGGGAATAAAGAGACTTTTTTCAGGAGTCTATATTTGTTTTTAAAATGCATACCTTTGAACCTGGGGGAGCAGTCAAGCCTAGAAACGCATACACAGCGTTGTCTTCTCGAGCATCAAAGAAGGCCTGATAGTTCTGTATGTGGGGGAAGAGAAGAAATCACAGAATTTTATTTTGAGGGCATGATTCATTCACAGAATACATTTTCAAAGCTTAAGTCAGACAAGCACAGCAAGGCATACTGAATGTGGTATGCAAGCTTTGTGTTGCTGGCTGAGGCACAGACAAGCCCAGAAAACTGATACACTTGAGATTATGTATGTGTGGGTAGGTGTGTGTATGCGTTTGTGTATGCGTTTGTGTATGTGATCTGTGCTCTTAAAGCAGTGGAACTGCATGCTGTAATCTCACACACACAAAATGAAGCAAAAGCAAAGAGCAGGTCTTTTCCCAGCCTCCTGCTCCAGCTGTATTTGTCCTAAAGCTAGTGCTTTCTTTGTCTGTACTGCTTGTTTTTCATTTGCTGAAACAAGCTTGGATGCATTCAAGCCTTGTCAGGAGTCTATGCAATTGCATCACAACACAGAGGAAGAATTTGGAGTGGGTGAATGGGAGGGAAGACGCAACACTAGACTGTTGTTTCTCCAGACCATAATTATTAATGTGCAGTAGTGCTGCATGATATGGGCATGTTCTATAGAACTATTGGACGTCATGAGTATAATTAAAATAGTGTGTCTCTGACTGGGTGTGTATAAAGTAGAGACTCTTTTTTTGGTGTGTGTAAGGGAAATCTGACTAGCCTTGCCTTTAAGTGAATAGTACATTACAAAAGCCCAGTTCATTATAGTGGAAAGTGCAAATGAATTATAGAGGAAAGTGCAAATACATTACTAATAGCTAGTGTAGCAACTTGCATCGCAATTGCATACCCAATGTTGTGCTGTTAAAATGCATTTCCTGAACAGCTTTTTCTATGTGAACCTCCAAAAATGAATAAATGTATAATTTAATTTCTATATAGGCCTACAAAAACAAAATATATTGAATTTCTGTGTAAAGCTCCCTATGGTGATACAGGTTTGTTGTGATAGTGGCCATTACAGCTTCACACAAATATCGCACAACTCAGAGAGTAAGAATAATCATCGCGTCAAAAGTCATTTTACAGGTTAGTAATTAATAACAGAGTAGATTTTGAGTTGCGCAAGCGTAATTTGTAACTGGCCCTGTAGAAGAGTGGTTAAGTCACTCTGCTTTTCAAAAGACTGGGCCACCCCCCCCCCATTAGAGAGGAACAGTGCTGCTGTCTCATTTGTGATGCATGTAGTGAAATCTATCTGTGTGTCATGTCATGTTCTTTGTGCAACCTTAATGCCCATTTCATGGAAATAGCCTTTGAGGACAGTAAACATATGAACAACCATCAAATCATCTGTCATTTACAGTCTTTTCTTATCAGGGATTTAAAACTGACCCCACAGTATCTTTCCTCGTTGAAAATCTGTGGTGGGAGAGGGTTCCCTGTGGCTGGCCTGGAGTCTTCAGGTACATTTTCTCGCATCCATTTCCTGTTCTCCTCATTGGCCGCAATGTCACACTCCTCAAACTCGATCTTATTCGCCGCCAGGAACCCCATAACGTCCTGCTGCTGTTTCTTGATCTAAGAGGAAAGACACACGATAGAGGATTGAGCCAATGACACTAAGCGGATGCTCTTATCAAAATGGGTGACTGACCTCAGTGCCCCCCCCCACCATTTTCAGAACAAGACATTCCTTTGTGAAAGGACTTGCAGGGATCATCACAACTGAATGCATGCACTGTTAGACAGAGGAAATGGTTCTTAGTTTTGGTTTTGTTTACTTTTTAACTTCCTCAAACAACTCTGGTTACTTACAGTATGTAAAATACAGACATACAGTACAACGAACACCTCAAAATATATGCTGTATATCAATTTGTAACAATTTTAAACACAAGCTTTGAAACAATTGCCGTACAATGAAAAACTCCTTTTTATTCATCTAATAAAAGTGGTATTAATCATAAGATAGCATTGATATTTCTTGTATATGTAAAGCCCACTCCCAACAATGTATATCATGAAAAGAAAATTTGCAAAGTGGTCTGGAATGAAACTCATCATATTAAAAACATAAAATTTAACCTAATTTTTTCCCACTTTATCAAACATCCAGGAGATGTAACAGTTTTTGTGTAGTAGTTTATTTAGCGGTTTAAAGCAAATGCAAAACTCACAAGCCATATGTCCATGAGGTATGAAAAAAGTGCTGATACATGCAAACACTCACACTAAACAATCTGTTAAAGTGAGTTATGTCTTCTGCAGAAAGTTCTTTGAATAATAAAAAGAAATAAATCAAAAGCATAATTTAACCTTTCTGCAGAAAACACAGAAACGTGGTTATCTGAATTCTAAAATATCATCATGATCACACAAAAATGTGACTGCATTACAGTCAATCTGCATCGCCTCTGAAATTTGAAGCCCCTGTCAGGAACTGCCAAAAACAGCATACCAGCCTCCTCAGGATTTAACAGAGAGGAAAACTGCATATTTATTGTGAGTGATGTCAGCGGCTTATGTTGTTCAAAGCCAGCTGTAGCTCCAAAACTAGCCTGCTAGTTTTAATGACTAGGGCATTGAAAGTTCAAAAGTGTCAGAATGCAGACTGTTTGTCATCCTGCAAATCACATAAATAACCTGGGATTAACTGTTCAGTAATGGAATGCTGTAATTATTATCACTGCAGAAAAGAACCTTTTTGAAATAAAGGTTTGCAGACTACAGTAAGTCAGATGTGGTAAGGGTTTTAAGGTGCTAGGACTTTTCTGACTATAGTGGGCGGTTCCCAGAGGGAAGTATGACCCTAGAAGGAGAGACGGAAGCCAGGAGATCTAGTGGGACTCAGTCAAGGGAGGAGGGAGTTAGTCAAACACAAACCAAATAAGGCATGCTATGGGGAAGCCAGCCATGGCCAACTTCCAAATGCTGAACAACCACCAGATAGAAGGACAGACAGACAGGAGAGTACAGTGGAGAGCTACATGTTTGGTTTTCATGCCACCTCAACAGTGACTTTTAACCATTTACTGAATAATAAGGATCTACTAAAATCTGGTAGTAAGTAAATGGCTCTCTATTGCAGGTATAGCCTGAAGTTCTTCAATGGTTCTTTAGTACAGGCAATGGTTCTATGACAACATAAAGAACCGTTTCAATGTTTGCAAAACATTTTTTGTCCATGATGGAAAACCTGTTGAATGTGGTTCTTTACAGTCAGTGCTGGAACACATGCAAGTGGACTCTGACTTCATTTGCAGCATGAATCATCTAGCACATAACTCTGGTCCTGGTGGGCTGGTGTCCAGCACAGTTAGGTAATTTAACTGCTCAAGCACACCTGATTACACTCTTCTATTAATTGCCATGTTTAGTGGGTGTGTTTAAGCAGGGGAGCCACCAAACTGTGCTGGATACTAGCCCTCCAGGACCGAAGTTGTGCACCCCTGATCTAGACGATACTTGTGTCAAATGTCTGCCACGTCAAACCGACTTATGCAAAAACTATTTGCCTATATGCAAACCCAGCTAGTTTAAACGTATCATTGTCTGGAGACATAGAGCACACATGCAAAACCAGCCAAAAGCTGTGTTGTGCCTTGGACGGCTATGGAATGCCTGGAAATGGGTTGCAGCATTAACTCGGCAGCCATTGCGCAAGCTCTCCAGAGAGAATGTAAGAGGATAGCGACTTTCCCCTCCAACTCAGACACTCTTTAGGAGCAGAATCACTCACAAAACCCCTATTATACAGATGCCAAGCTAAATTCAATTTTCAGGGTGGACGAGCCAAACACCATCTCCCCTTTTTGATGACTATTCTTGAAATTAGCACTGTGCAAAAGCACAGTGTATTTTTACTGGACATGACAAGCCTCTCCTTGTTCCCTCTTGCTCCTGCGCATGGGTGGGAATTAACAACCTCCAGAATTTTCCTTCCATTTCTTCATCAGAAAGTGTGGAATGCAGGAAGTCAAATGTGATGGGGGTGCTGAAATATGAGCATAAGAATGAAACAATACTCGCAGCACAATATTCGCAATGCAAACCTTAGCCCTTCCAGATTAGAACTCCCTACAATAGCACTATTCAAGACATTGCCATAACTCAGGTAATATTGTTATGATAAACAAAGACATTGTGAAGCGCCCTAACTACCTGGGATGTTAATGATTCATCAATGCTAGAGAATAGCAACTGCTCTTACAGAATACAGAACACTGTTTTGTTTATTACTATAGCTATTTCTCACTGCATGCATGATAACAGTAAACAGCACTGATGTTGTCGACTGGGCTCAGTTGGTATATATACTGGATTTATTTCATCAAAGTCTACTGTTACAGCCACAGGGGTGAGACTGAATCAATATCAATAAGTTCACTGTAATGGCCTGCAGTATCGATCCTCTGTACTATTAAGCCGCTAAATCAATGGACAGACTGAAGGACTAAATCATTAGAATTTAACATTTTAAATTAGCTGGACAATTCTGAACCATCTTAGTGAAAACAATGCTACATAAGCCTTTCATTAAAGCTGACATAAACATATACAGAAATGTATAAAGGCTTATTCCATAATACTGGCTTAGGTGAGAGTGGCTGATTGGAATAAGCCTTTATAAAATTTTGTATAGGTTTATGTCAGTTGTCATAAAATGCTTACATAGGTGCCATGGAGCCTTACAAATGCTGCCCCTCAATAAATGTTTACCAACCCATTACGTCACAAGAGTATCTGCCCCATTGGGAGGGTACAACCCCCACAGTGTAATGTTTCCAGCTAAAAGGATAATGAGAATCCCATAGAAAATGTTTTCATCTTCTAGAGAAATTCCCTGTATCTTTAACTCCATTTGGATCTCAAGTTATGGGTGGAGGCTGCAATTCACACAGTAAATAAATGATAAGCTGCACCATTGTTCCAGTTTGTTTATGGTACCTCTGCTTTACAACTGACCAAAAGAGACAGAGATTTAACACCATTTTCTATCTCAACAATATAAGTGTAGAGCAAAGTTTCAAGATTATTACTTTCAAATACAAGGAGAAGGCTGTGGGACAGTTATAAAGGACTAAAGGACTTGGGCCTCAGCCCACAAGACACACCTTCTTTGGATGACTAGTGTGAGGTCATTGTTTTCTATCCACGTTCCAGTTTCTCTCACTCCCAAGGCCACAGCTGCTTTCTGCTGTGCCTTTGAGCACAAATTTACTGTGCTCAAACTGTTAGACAGATTCCCTGCCCAGAACAAGTCTCATTGGAAGACTATAGAACAGACAAGCCCATGCAGACAATATCAGAAGGCACCTAACCAGTCGACACTCTAAGCAGTACTTATTATCAGATGATTATTTAAGTGTAGGAGCTGTTGGCACAATTTAGATTACAGTGCACGAAGGTTACTCGTTTGTCTGGTTAGTTTCTAGTGAATGTGACTTTGTCTGTCAGTGACTAAGTGTGATGACTATGTAAAAATACATATTGACAGTGGCGCATCACAGTTACAATGTAGTAGCAAAGCGATGCCATATTTTTACACTTTCAAACAACCACATCATCTACATAAAAAAGCACTGCCGACTGAATGGGACGCTCTTCAGTAATCGCGGATGAGTCTGAGGTCACTATATGGTATAGTGTAGTGGGTAACACCTCTGCCTTCTACGCTGTAGACTGGGGTTCAATCCCCTGCCTGTGTAAGCTACACTATACCAATAAGAGTCCGTGGGCAAGACTCCTAACACTACCTTCGCCTACCTGTGTAAAAATTATCAAATTGTAAGTCACTCTGGATAAGAGTGTCTGCTAAATGCCATAAATGTAAATGTACTCTTCCCTAGAAGGGTATAAAGCTCCCCAACACTGGGCTGTGGAGCAGTGTAACTGGGTTCTCTCGAGTAAAGGACTACCACTGAATACCTCACTAATGTTAATGCAATCAAATCCTTACAGCAATGTTCAATATCTAATGTAAGGCCTACCTAGAAAACTAGAGACTGTAACTGCAACAGAGATCGGATAAACACTATAAACCCTCTTAATACCATTTATTTCAGAAAAAACGTTGGATAAGCAGGTCTGTAAACTGTGGCAAACACTGTTATGGCCCTGACTTTTGTCTGTAATCTCAAGTACTGTAATCAAACTGAAAAAATGGATTGCAGTGTCTGAATTTCCCTTCAGCATTACGTAACATTTCATATTTCACATTTTTGTGCAATTTTAAGGCCTCTAAGTGCTGCCCGAATGATGTGTTCCTCAATGGCAGTACACATGGGTAGTACACAATGATTCAATTTAAAAATAAGCCACCAAGCCACTTTTACATTGCTTGATACTGTTGTTTTGTTTACTGGGAGAGAAAACAAGAGAGAACTACCTTTGTTCTTCTACCTTTAAATAGGTCAAGCTATGTTCTGCAGTCTTAGGACCAAAAGTAACTTTGTAAGGCTTTATATGTTTATGTAGACCAGTTTCTAAAAACCTAACCTGCTGTCTAAATCTCTATTTCTCTGTTAGTATTGCACAGTTCTTCTTATGGAACTTAATATGGAAAAGTAAGTAGCTCTTTACTTGAGCCTTGCTACATATGACTGACATAGCCATGCTAGAAATATGTCATTAAAGATGTCATATGATGCCATTACAGATTTTGTTCAGTAATATAACATCATGTCATATTTGATGTCATTGACAGCTTATGTAACTTGCTAGTTAGTGTACTTTAGTTAGCCTAACTGTCAAGACCACAAACATAATCCCTTAAATGGCCAGGGCCCAATAATAGGGCCCTTACTGAATAATAGGCCTTAGTATTTAATAAGCCTAGAATTTTAAGGGGTTAGGATATGACAGTTACTGGTGATGGCCCTGTTATATTACTGGACATCTGTCTTGACAACATATGGCAGGATATGAAATGTGCCATGACATATTCACAGCATGTTTTTGTCAATGTTGTGCAGCAGGGTTCAAGTAAAGTGTTACTGAAAAGTATCTGACCTAGGATTGCAGACAGTAGTTGCACTCTTAGGTAAAATGATTGCTTGGGACATGTGGTTGAACTGCAACAGGATCAAGCCTTGTTTTGGTTAGACTTTGGACAAGACCTAGTCAACATATGATGATGCCTGTAAACCCTACAGGATGGATCAGGGAAAAAGAAGTCAAAAGGCGATCAGCATAATGCACTCAAACTGGTAACCTATCCTCTATTCTCTTGTGATGACAGTCTCACCACTGATGCTAGGCCATTTTTGGGGGAACTGTTTAAATGGCAAAGGCCCAAGGAGAAAGAAACAAAGGCAATAAGGCAATGTCCTGAAAAACAGACTATGTTGTAATTTTTGTAGTTTATATGGATACATTTTCAATGAATTTTAATTTAAAAGGTTTTTATATAACCTCCCACCCCATCACCAAAAATTCTGTTCAGTCATTAATTTTATTATTTTTTAATTTTATCTAATTTTAGTTATATTAGCCAACTATGCAGACAAACAATGGACAGATTAAACATGCTTCATGTCACGGCTTGGCGATACTGATAAAAAAGTGACGTCATATTATCACGTTAGCGAATGATACCTAATTTAGCATTAATAAAGTTAATGAGCCCATGCATCCTGATTGCTGCTACTCTATGTTAAATGAATGTCTTATGAACCTGACATATCTTTTTGGACTGTTGTTTTCAGCTAAAATATCGCTGAAAATCTGTATCACAGTATATATAGCTATAGTCCATATATAGCCCAGCACTACATCTATTACAATAAGAATAGCAACCAAAAGAATAGCTTGAAACCCTAACTTAGAGCACTGAATGCTGCTGTGTCTACATTTCTACACCATGTGTAATCACACTTTGAAACTTGTGCTAACAAGGAAGTAGGGAGGAGTAAACCTAAGCACAAAACTAGCACCGAGCCAGTTTTTTGCAGTTCATATTTAGATGAATCTGAAAAGCACAGCAAGAGTGAACAAAAACATAGGGCTGCTATAGAGCTGTTTCAATATTCCCTAATTGAGGCTTGAATGAGTGAAGACGTTAAGGCCTACAGCTTTAAAATAACCTCAGCTTTCAGCTATTAGCCATCTAACGCAATACCCTGACAACAAATAAGAATGGTGGAATGGTCCTAAACTTACAAGCATGAGTGTAAGAGCAAGCATATGAAGTATTCCACACAAGTGCACTTAACATTTCTAGAAGTTAATTATCCAAGACCACATTATGACATTTGATCTCTCAAAACTCCCAAAGGTGCATTCAGTCAGAACTCTGGAAGGTGTGCCTTGATGTTATATAACTTGGGTCCTCTAAGCATAGCATCTTCAGTTAACTTACCAAATTAGGAGGAGCCAGCTAAACCCAAGTGACATCTGCAGACTGTTGCTCTGGGGAGCATATTACCAAAGAGTGAGCTGTGCTTAAACATCAGCATCTGTATCTGACTTTTTAAGGACAAAAACTAAGGCAAGCTCCAAATTAAAGAAGGTCTGAAAGCATCTCTGCCTTAAGCAATAATAACCTATTTTATATGGCTTCAATGCCGTTATGATACTGCCATGCCTGAAAAGGAGTTTCTTTCCATGTAGCTCAACTTCTGCCTTGAATCTAGGTGACACTGACAGACACAGAGACTCAGGAAATGGCTGCATCACTGCGCGAAAAAAACTGCCACTTCAGTGCCATATTTAGAGTTATTTACTGAGAGCTATGTCTCAACTTCCTATGCTGGCAATGTACCACTTGGAAGGGGTGTAGCTACGTGAGCCTAGCCGAGATGGAATCCCTTCTGGAACAGCATCCTGCTCTGCTTCTCTCACTACCACAGCCTTTATGTCTGTCTGGAGAGGAATGCGAGAAGAATCTCTCTGCAACATCCTGTAACCAGTTCATAAAGCGAGGCAGCTAGTTCATAAAGCAGCAGCCTTCAGATAAGGTTTTAAGCAGCATTTTGACATCGTGAGCGGACTGCACCATGTTAGCAGCTTGCTTTAAATCCGCGGAAATTGTTCAAAGATCAAAGTTCGTCCATCAGTCATTAGCATCGTGCTCGCACGGTTTTATATGTGAGCCGTTTGTCAGTGCGCTTACCGAGGTTGATCCGGACGACGACGCAATGTAAACTTTGATCACCATGTTCTCCAAATCCTTGTGAGACAGCAAAAAAAATCCCCGGTGATCTTTCGAGGGTGGTGAAATGACAGCGAGGTGGATTGTGCACTTTCCCTCGTTAAGAGTCGTAGGCTACTGGACTGGCCTCCCAGCGTGAGAAGTCTGCAAGTCTGCACAGACCGTTTAGTCCTCCCAGTCTCTTGATGGACTTCGTCCCCGCCTCCTTTCTATACTACCCCTCCTCTACTCGATAATAGTACACCCGATAAGGTGTAAAAATACATTTAATTAGTTTAAATGTAAAAATGGAAGCTAGACGAGAACATACCCTCGATTATGAAGCCCTAGCTTAACCATTGGAGTAGCCTAGCCTAGCCTGCAGCCTACAAAGAGAACTGTACTGCAGGCTAAACCTTCACTGTTGGACTGAATAGCTAAATAACAGGCGAGGCCACAGCTATTCAACTGTCAGTTCTAACTATTTAAACAATTTCACGTTTTGGCTGTATTTATTTGAATAAAGTGTGCAAGTTTAATGGTCTACAGTAGGGGTGGGCGATATGGCAAAAATATAACACCATGTTCAGGATGCACAATAAGTATGATATTTCATTTGATATGTAGGAACAGATAAAAATGACAATATCTAATAGTGATGTAATAGGAATCAAATATCGTCATATTGCCCACGCCTAATCTACAGCATGAGCTCATCCAACTTAAAGGGGAACTCCACCGATTTTTCAAAAATTCTGCATAATTATAAAATGGTTGAGATGTAAACAACGTCACCGTGGTTTGGTGTGAAATACTACATTCTAGAGAAACTTACAGAGTCAGAATTGTTTACAGTGGTGGTGATAGGAACCAGACGTCTGAAGAGTTTAATGCCTCTAAAGCTCCCTCAGAGAAAGTTATCACATGAAGCGGTCAGACATGAATACGATGATTTTGTTTTATCCTATACTGCACTGAACTTAATCCAATTACATATGACTAGTTATGCTCTCTTTAATGACGTATGCAGCTGTTCAACGCTCTGTAAGCAATGACTATATCCAATTGTGATGTAATATGGCGTAATCTTCCATGATATAGACAAATATGGTCATAGTGCCCACCGTGAGCTCATACAATTTAAAGGGGAACTCCACCGATTTTTCAGAAAATCTACATTAAATGGTTGAGATGTGAACAAAGTCATTCAGAGTGCTCTGTCCTAGAGAAACTAGCAATCAGAATTGTTCACAGTGGTGGTCATAGGAACCAGACGTCTGAAGGGCCACTGAAAGTTCCCGTATACAGAGTTATTACATGAAGTGGTTAGATATTTGCTGCTTGATGTCTGGCACATTGTTTTATGCTACCTTTGTGATAAAGTTTTGCCTTGAAATGTATTTCAATCCTTTTATTTCCATCCAGGAATGGTGGAGGGATACATGCAGGGTATTGTAAGGCAAAGAAAAGAAACCTTTTTTTCCAATTTATGCCTATTTTACCATCATAAACTTTGCATATAAAACACAAAAGACATGTTTAGGATTACTGGTGGGTTTTGATGGTAAATAAAATGGCGATATTTGTGAAAAACCTTGGTTATCACTACCACTGTAAAGAAATCAGAGACTGCTAAGTTTCTCTTAAACCCCTCTGAATGACTCTGTTTACATCTAAAGGACTGGATTAATCAGAAATTTTGAAAAACGGGTGGAATTCCCCTTTTAATGTGAGCCCTCATAACGAATGCAAAGTCACTTTTTCTTACAGAATCCAGTCGTTTTCGTTAAATAACCAACCGCAGCCAAATGGGAGTTAAGCTTAAGTTGTTTCCTTTACTGTGGAAATATCTTTTCGTCCCCAGGTTATGTGGGAAACTGCTGAAAAATCAACACTGTAATCTCTGCTCTTTTTTCGACTCCTGAGAGGAGTTATGTTTCAGCCTAAACGTGTTCTGTTCAGGCCGAATCTGCTCAAATGGCTTCCAGAGAATTTTACCAGTGAACGAGAGCGAATGATGCCACCTACAGGCGCCTTCCCAGCTCGAGCACAATAGAGGCTCCTTTTTTGTTGTCGCTGTGAATTTGGCAAAAAGGGAAAGACCGGCGAGAATGCACCGGGCAAGGAGGGCGCCATTTTGGAGCTCGGCTGAATATAAAGCACGACATAAACCTTTACGAAGACTTGCTACCGAATGGCCTTTAACAATGCGGTGTTTCATATAATACACCTTTTATAGTTGGAAACATTGAGTAGGAAACGTAACGAACCGATTCCAAGTGCTAAAAGCAAAAAATACTGACTGAATGATTTGTGACTTTCTTAACCCCTGCTCCGCTCGGGCAACAAGCTTTTGGCGCGTACGAGAAACACCGGCTTGGTTATTCTTCTTCATTCGCAGCCCTCGACGCCGGGCTCTGATTGGTCGAGCGGACATCAATCACGTCTTAGCCGCTCCCCTCCCCCCCATTCAGCCACTAGCTTTAATGCTCCTGTGTGTTTACTACTGTATTTAGGATAAGGAGACGGTCACGTATATGCTGTGAGGCGTCAACTCAAACTCTCGCTTTTAGTAGTATTTCAAAGACACCCTTCAGGAATTCAACATGCCCAAAAGAAAGGTATGTAGCCTACTGTTCGTGCAAATACTTTCACTGTGAAATCAGAGAAGCAGTTAGCCATTGATAGCTTGCTGTTTGTTGTAAAGCCATCTCCACAAGACTTGGCTTTACACGAATTTCTTTTGTTTGCAAAAATATACGTCCTTCCTAAATATTTTAGGAAAATCTGTGATTTTATTGCGGTTCAGACGGCTTCAGTTTGCATTCTTTTATCAAAGTGCACACGTACTCTGCCTCTCCAAGCAGTCTTGCTCGGTGGAGTCTGAAATCTAGCTTGGTCTCCATGCTGGTGAACCTCAAGCAGCCATGCTTTGCAGCTCCAACTAGTCACTGTGAAAATGACCGAGAACAAACGCCGTTTTTATCGCCTTAAGCGCCCGAACAGGGGTCAATGGCACTCGAAAAAACGACTCGCAAAACGTATTTTCGATCGCCCTTATCGATATGTACCCTCACCGTGTCAAAAAGATATATTTGTTATTTTTTCTCTTTGTTCGTGCTGCCAGATGGCTGCAATTGCGCTCAGTTTACGGCAGATGGCGCTGCGGTTGTTCAAGTCAGCCCCTCCCCCTCTCTCGCATCTCCCGCCCTAATTTTTTGAATTTCTGCAAGGGTTGGTTGTGCAGATGGGGCAAACTAATAAGGGGTGTTAGAGATGTCACACTTCCATTGTCCACTGAACCCAACTCAAATAAAACAGACACATTCTGACATCTCTGCTGTTACCTAGTTGAAACTAAAAGCAAAAATAGTAGGTTGAAATGCCCCTGCAGTATCATCTTAGAGAAACAAAGATGAATTTGTTTGACTTATTTGTGAATCTTCCAATAGGGAGCAGAGGGTGACGCCAAGGAGGAGGTATTATTTCTTTATATCTATCTATATCTATCTGTCTGTCTATCTATAATATATATGTATATATATATACATATACACATGCATATACACACACACAAATACACATTTTATTATTTTACCTAATCTTTGCAGGTAAAGTAGTTGCCTGGCTTTTTACACATATGTTTTAAAATGTTTTGTTTTGTTTTTCTGTAAAAAGTTGTTGTATTCTCTCTCTTCAGCCTCAGAGAAGATCTGCACGGTTATCTGCAGTAAGTGGTTATTAATACATGTTTTAATTATAAATCTGTGTGCATGTGTCTTTCACACATTTTTACATTACATAACATTTATTAATGTGTAATAACTAATTGTTCATTTTATAATAGCAGTATTTGTATATTTTCAGTATGTAACTTACAGTTAACTTTGTTTCATTTACAGCGACCGGCTCCTCCCAAGCCTGAACCCAAACCAAAAAAGACAGCTAAGGTAAACACAAATACTTAGACCTGTAAGCTTGATACACAGAAGAAAAGTTTTTTTTAAAAGAAATGATAAAAACACTGTAGTAAATGTCTTGTTATATACTAATATATCTTTGTGTTAGTGTTATATCTCTTTATGTTAAACACTGAGTTGATCATGAAGCTGCCATGATCCAGGCTTTAGGTTCATGGTATCTGACTGTAAAGAAAGTAAAACAAAAGTTTGCATCAGAATTACATCTGTACAGTTTTATGCAAAAAAAGTTTTGGGTGACCAGTTCAAATGTTATGTTGACTTTCTAAGGGAAAGTAAGTACAGATGCTCTACAGATAACACACCTCTGCACATTTTAATGTACAATTACTCTCTTTTGCTGAGTTTAACATAAAATGTGGCCTATGCAAAAATGTATGTTTTATTCTTTTTAAATATGTTAAAGTCAGCAAATAAATAGAAATCTTGCATTAAAAACTGCAGTTTGTTCTGTGTATAGGAACAAACTGCAACCTTATTTTCACTTGGAAAATCAACAAAACATGCAATTCGACTGGGTGTATTCAAACTTCTGCCTACCCTGGTCGACCCTAGTCGAATTTTCCTATGCTATGTACTTGATGGGTAAAATGGCATGACCAGACTTCTACTTTACAACACTTCATTTTGTATTATTATTATTAATATTATTATTATTATTGTTAGATAAGATTAGATATTTCTTTATTAGTCCCACAACGGGGAAATTCTCAGTGTTACAGCTGCAAAGGGATAACAAGGCACTCAACCTTGTTAATTACTTGACAAAGTTTTTACAGTTTGTTACTTGTTATTTTATAGACTATATATAATACTAAAGTAAAAAATATCAAATATACTCTCTATACTTCACAAAAATTAACAATATAAAGGATTATAAATTAATAAAACAGATTTACTGATATTATTATTATTATTATTATTATTATTATTACTATTAATATGTTTTGTTACAGCAACAGTTAATGGCATTACTATGATTACTTTGAGATTAATCTATATAAGCCTAAAAACTTCATCTTTTGAAATGTCGGTTATTAATCTTAAGGTTTATTATGCAGTTACTTGCATGTATATAACATGTAAGTTACATAACAATGAGAGTAAGAAACCATAGTGTAGGGCCACATGCAGACCTGATTTAACTTATGCAAAAATTATGCAAAACATTGAAATATCGAACACATTACATTAGAAATGTTCCTTTTAACCTAGTCAGTATTTTTATGGCAAAGGAAAG